TAGTATAATTTTTATTTTTATTTATAAGTATACTTTGGCTAAATTATTTACACTATACTTAATAATATATATAAATAAAAATGCCTAATAAATTAATTGGGCTAAAGCCTCTATTGCTTATATACAGAAATGGGTAGACTAAATTCTAATCAGATGGTCCATATATTATGTTAATATAAATAATATGTTTACCTTGTAGTGTTATATATGCAAATACATTACACCATCCTCTATGAAAAAGTGGTGAATAATAGAACATTAGAGTTTTATATGGGCATAAGAACTTCAAACTCCCATAGAATCATTGATATAGTTATTGATAACTATGAACTTATAATACAAGCATTCAAATATAACATCCTAATGAACAAATTGCAACTTTATGTGAAACTGTTAAATATTTGAACTAACAGCAAAATTAGAATTGTGAATGAAATTAAAAGACTTCAAGAGCCACTATAGTATAGTATAACTATAATAAGGGAAATGTATTCAACTTTAAAACTTTAGCAAAAGTGATTTAACCCTTGGAAAATGGAATATAGACTCTAAGAAGAAAAAACTCCACAAACTCCACAAGAATTAGGTTCATGGAAATACATAAACTCTAGATTAATATGAGGAGGATAATGAATATTTAGGATTAAAAAAGTCATAAGGAACAATATACCAAGAAAATTGGAATAAAAATTGGCTGTAGATGAAAGATGAATATTAGAAACACAAGAAGACAGCTTAAGTCAAGAGAAGTCAAAAGATTAAGAAAGAGTAGGAAGTAGAAAGAAAAGACTAAATAGTAAGTTAAGGGACTACCCTATGAAATTTTTAATTTTTCTTTAAAGTTATCCTTAAAGCATTTGAATACTCTATTTATCAAGAATATAATCAAACTTGTAAACATCATTTTCTCATAAGCTTGATCCTCAAACACCCTCTAGAAACTATTTGTTAATTCATGTCATGATTACATTTTACATCAATAGCAAATGGTAAGACACCAAGAATAGGAGCAACCATGTAATCACATCCCACATAAAAAGGAGCCAGTAGCACACCAAGAATTGGAGTAGCAAAATCTCCAATCCACATGTAACATAATAATAGTATGAATAATGTTGCAAGATGAGAATAATAGAGCATCTACAGCCTCAAACCTCAATTAATAATAATTATTGGAGGCATTCGCACTTGCTCTTTAGCTGGGATTGCCGCGAGCTCAGGCATTGATGGCGGGGGAGCCGACAGCAGTCATCGCTGAGGTTAGATCATGTTGGGAATTCGGTGGAGGAAGGAGGAGCAGCCAATTTTGGGGGAGGAGGAGCTGTAGGGTTTGACAAGGAGATGGTGTGGGTTCGAGGCAGCAGCATCCAATGTGGAGGTGCTGCAACCATGGTGGAGGAGCATTTGGGGTTGGAGGATGGGCACCAAGCCTAGCTGTCGCTTGAGGAGGTAGGCCACCTCAAGGCCAAGGTCATGGAGATGCCGAGCTTGCAGATCTTGGCCTCAATCAGGGTGGACCCGGAGCTATAGAACGGGGAGCTGGAGCTTCTCCCCCCACAGCTTCTAGAACTTGATTGTTTTCCGAATTCTCTTCTACAACAACCAATGAGGTAAGCTTCATCCCGAGTTTAGCTCAAAGTTTATAGGAGAGTGGTTTCAAGTTTAGGATGGCGAAGCATGTGACCTGGAGTAGGAGCAGTCACCAAGACAATAGTACTTGCAGCTATGGTTTCATAACTTGGAAGAGCAGGATGACATTACTATTGAATAAGAGGTGGAAGAAGATGATGGGGGTGATGAAGAGGAGGGCAATGATGACAAGGGGAGGTAGGTGTTCATGTCGTGAAGAAAGTGAGGAAGAAACATAAGAAAAATTGGGGGTACAATGAGACAGCTTCCCTCATTAACTTCAAATGGGAAGATCACCTTGGAAAAATCGGGTTAGTGTGGGGCAATGAGGAGATGATGTTGACAACTACTACTCGTTGGAAGAGGATTGCAAAGAAGATGTAGGCTACTAGCATGTAGCAGGACTAGAAGGCTTGCCAAACTTGCTAGAACAACCTTTGCAACGACTATAAGTGTGTTTGTGATTTCCAGAGGAAAATTGGGAACCCCAATTAATTTAGCTTGAGCCATGAGGATGTGAAGTGGCTTATGCCAGTGAAGCTGAACTTGAAGGTGTTCCCAATTGAGTACTTCAACATCATGGATGAATTTTTGGTGAAGTAGGCATCAACATCTCCAATGTTTCTTGCTGAGTCAAATGCTCTAGAGGAGGAAACTTACAAGGAGGATCCCATAGATGGTGTTAATCCTCCTGGAGATGCTACACAAGTGCGAGGGAGTTCGGGGAAGTGGAAGAACCCAAAGAAGGCCAAGAAAAGCACTCAATGAGGGGAATGTTTTTGCTACTACTTGAAATGAGTAGAATTAACATGGCAAAAAGAGACTATTGTTTGCATGAAGGAGAATAGCTTGGTCGAGAAGGAGAAGGTTGTAGTTGCAACAGTTTTAGCTAGAGCCATCTCCAACCTTGTAAGCTCCATTTCCAACTTCTTGAACAGGGTTGCATCTAAGAGTTAGCCGTCTTTTTTTCAGGATTTTAGGGGGATGCTAATTATTAATATTAAACTAAACTATATTTAGGCTATGATATTCTAGATTTCTTCTAACCATTTTTTTTTTCAGGATCTTGCAACAGTTCCACCTGAGGAAACAAAAAATGCTTTTGGGGAAAGCTAAAAAGATGCTCAGGAGGAATGTGGTTCTTTCAACAATCAGGTAGCAGTCATCGATGCCTTATTGAGGAATAAGGTAATTTTGCTTCTTTTGCAAGTTTTGTTTCTCGTCGTGGAGGCTTTTTGATCCACCATCAATAACAAAACCCCAATGGCATAAACTCTTCCGGACAAGGAGGAGGACGAAGACAAGCTTTGTCGAGCAATCTTGTCTAATTGACTTGACACCGGTCTCTAGTGGGTGAAGCTATGGTGTATGACAACATAAAGAAGGTTCTTCATGGAGGTGTAGGACCCTAGTCAATGGAAGTGGAAGCTAAGGATGGAGAAGACAACATTCTTTGGGCTTTGTGATATTCTAGAGGCTAAAATCTACAAGTAGGATATGAATTTTAGGAGAGTGGTGCCAATGGATGTTCGTTTGGGGGTCACCTTATACAAATTGTTAAAGAACACCGGCTACTCCAACCTATCTGACAAGTTTGGGATTGGGGAAGCCATTGCACATGACATTGTGGTGTAGACAACTATTGCAATCTTCAAGTGCTTCGGGTACAAAATTCGATTCCCAGAGACAACAGTGGTTGTGGCGGCAGATTTTCAATAAATCACCAAGACCTGTCTCCCTAATGTGGCTAGGGCAATTGATTGTACACATTTCGAGATTATCTAACCAGTTGACCTAGATGGTGAAGGCTACTTTGATCAAAAGCAGTGGTACTCGGTGGTCTTGCAAGGGGTTTGCCACACTTGGAAAAGGTTCTTAAGTATCTATGCAGGCTGGCTAGGTAATTATTTTTAATTTTTTTCTTCTATACATGTAATTGGTTTTTTTTTTTCCCCAAGGAATGTTCATGACATAAGGGTTTTTCGGAGTTCCAGGCTATACCACAAGATCCAAGTAAGAGAATTACTCACAATTCCTTGGGAGTTTGCTTTTGACAAATGGATTGAGCCATATTTGGTAGGAGATAAGGGCTATCAATTGCAATAGCACTTAATGATCCCTCACTTAGGTAAGCTGATAGTTTTTTTTTTTCAATTTTTCATTTAAAACAGGTTCTCAGTTGACAGTGACTAAGGTGGAGTACAATCAGCAATACCATTTAGCCCAGATTGTTATTGAATAAGCATTTGTACTTTTGAAAATGAAATTTAAATGCTTGGATCAAAAACAAAGGATCAAACCAAAGTATCTGCCGAACATCATTAAAGGTTTTTGCATCTTGCACAACGTCTTGATTGATGTTGGTGAAACAAACATCAATGCTGAGATCAAGGCATGAGAGAGACACATTCAAGCTTTGAAGGAAGTAGAGATTTTTGAAGATTACGGGGATTCTATCATGGTTGAGGGAGAACCACAGGAAGACTTGCATGGGCCGGAGGATGTATAGAAGGTTTGAGAGAACTTAATTGACTTCCTATGTTTGTGCTATAGTAGAACTGTGTGATTGTTATGTTCAAGTTTAATATTTGAAATTTGAAATTTGAAATTTAAATTTAGAGTTAGCAATTTGAATTTGAAATTTTAAAATATTTTAAAACATGTTTGAATGCTATTTTGAAGAGATTTTAAAGTAAGTTAGATGTGAAGTCACTAATGTTTTACGTTAAATGTTTATCACAAAAACCTATGTAGGTGGGAATGAAAATGTTTTAAAATGCATACTAAAAGCTTAAAACAACCTAAAAACTACTCAAGTGTGAATGCAATGGTCACAAAAATTAAAATAAACACTTTAAAATATTTGTATATAAAGTGCAGGTGCGAATGGTTCCAAATATAACATGGCAAAAGAAGGAAGCAGATTTATATATAACAATAGCTCTAGATAGAAATGTAGCACAAATTGAACAAAAACAAAATCACAATCCCAAAAGCAAAACATTGTCAATAAAACCTTGACTTCCAAAGAGGACAAAAGCTGAAGTGGATTAATTAATAGCCTGGGTCCAAGATCATTATATTCTGCTCAAAAAAGTAAATGTGGATCAACTAGCTCGCTCACTGCGCAGGGAGAGGCCATCCATGGTGACAAATCACAAGCAACACTCATATGAGTGGTTAAGACATGGGAATAAGTATTAACTATTACATCTTTTTAATATTTAATATATTTATAAAATTTATAGATGAACTACTATAATTAACATATTTACCAAAAAAAGAGTCAATTAATTGGTCTCTGATTTTTGGAAAGGTTGTAAACCATCTTTTTATTTCCGTCCTGTCGAATTCTATCCTCTCCGAACTCATACGCGCTGCCTCGGCTTGCCAACATGCATCGCTCTCCTGCGTGGAACAAAAGCATGAAACAAGAAGTACTTTCTTACCCCAGAAGAACAGCTTTGGATTCCTGCCAGCAAGAGCCGGATTTAAGCTCCTCTTAGACAGATCCTCCCATAGTGCTCTCGCATTTCCCGCAGAGATCACTATCCACACGAAAGGACCTCAGCCTGGCCATGACGTCCGGCTTTCCTGGAAGAGTGAGAAAGCAGATGTAACCTGGCACGCAACACTCGTGTGGAAAAAACAAACAAGCTTCGGTCTGATAGAACTCTACTCTCGATCTTACCCGGCTCAAGAACAAACTCAGCGTCGGCATTCCATCCTCGAATCGTAGACCAGGACAACGTCCCTCAGTAGTTCGCACTCCACCAAGTTGACGACGCGGAAATCTCCATCGTGTCCCAGAGCCTCCACCCCCCTCCAGACCGCCACTATCCCGGGAGCTCTCGGCAGCTTGTTCCAGTAGGGTGAGCGGGTTGGGCACGACGGCATCGAGAAAATCGTTCTCGGCGACTACGAAGTAGAGGCCCACTAGCAGCAGCGCAGAGCGGGAAATGCCGAGCAGCAGCCACTGGCCAAATCCAGTTGCGAGGGTTGGCGATCTTGACGGACATAGAAGGTACCATGACCCTCCGCGCGCCATTGATGAACCCTAAAATCTTTAATTTCACAAACATAATTTATATGAAATTTTTCTCAATATCTTTGATAAACTGATCATAATGGTCAAAAAAAGAGATTTTTCTCTCTCTCACATTTTTTATTTATACCAAAACACAACTCCTATGAGCCGCATCCAAGAGTCACACCTGTTTTTTATCAGCTGCTTTCCTTCTGGTCTCTCTGATTTTGAATAAATTTTGTCTTTTGCCTTCCTCCTGCACCATCTACACAAAATGCAGGCCTTTGAATTGGAATCGAGGAGATTAGTTTTGTCTGGTTAACCTGCTTGCTGCTGACGAGCATCAACCAGGAGGGAATCAATCCGTTCCCACTCTCTCTAGTGCTGCTGCTGCTGCTGCTGCTTGCAATGTACAATCGCTCGCTCGCTTGCTCGATTTTCATTCACCCTTCGCTAAATTGTGCTGACAAGCTACACTGAGGCATCTGGTGCGAGCTGCAAAGGAAGAGACTTCATCAGCTTCTGGACTGAGCAAGCCGAGAAACAAGAAAAGAAAAAACCTTACCCGCTACCTCTGGCGCTCAACTTCTCCCCTTCCGGTGGCCTTTTGTTAGTCCGTGGCCCGTAGCGATGAAGCCTCTCCTGCGCTTCCAAAGGCGCGTGACGGCTCTTGTAAGTTTCATCATCGGTATCCTGAAATACATTCATCCGTGTGAGATCTCGTCCGAGTAAAAGGAAAAGAAACTAGGAAAACAGGACAAGAAAAAGAGAGCAAACCAACCAACCTCGTCATCCGAGTTATCTTCTTCACACATTTCGGACTTCTCGGCCAGCCGCCACTGAGGTGTCTCGATGTTGGCATGTCTCACATGTTGCACGTACTTGGCACCCACGCTGACAGGCATCACCACGTTGTTGATATCGTAGTCCGAGGCCCGCCTTCGGGCAGCCTGCCCGCCTTTTACCGCGGCTGGCGATACAGGATGGCCGCTCGGAGCAGCCTTCGTCAGACGGCTGACGGCAGCCGCCTTGGCCGCTGGAGCTCGCGCTGCGCCGCCGCCACCTCCGCCTGCTCTGGCTACCTGGCCTGGAAGTTTGTGCGACATCGAGCCCCGGAGCTGGTTTCTCAGCCGGACCACCCGTGCTTGCAACGTCTCCACCTTGAGCATGATGTTTTCTACCGAGTCTTCGTTTCCTTCATCGGCAGGCGGCGGATCTAGCCTCACCATTGCGCCTTCTGCCGCCACTACAAACATATGGTTGCAGAGAATTAGCCATAACCGGTCAAGAGATCGACAACATGATCATACGCGTACAATCGTTTGGCTCCTTGTGTTGGTCCCCCTCATACTCTCGCTTCTTCTTCTCTGCAAGGTCGACATTATGAGACGTGAGAGGAAATCGAATAAAATTCACTTCTTTACCGTATCTTTGAAATAAAGGATGCTTTGACATGTAGTCCGCCACATCCACAGTCTCCTCCACCTTCCTGCGCCTTTGGCGATGGAGGAGCGGCTGCGCGGGCCGCTCTTCCCGCACAGGCGCTGCTCTCGCTGCACCGTCGGGCTCCGTCCTCCCGTCCCATGGCTTGGCCTTCTGGATCCCCGAGAGAACCTCGTCATACTTTGTAGCCTGCCTCTGCAACTCCATAAGACGAATATCAAGCCACCGACATCTCCACTCAATACCACGTCTACAGTTTTTCCAGTCCATATTCAGGGGTCTCCTCCTGAAATAAAAATGTTTGACATACGTTTCGTTTGAGTGCGTTCAAGGAAGAGTTGTAAGAAAAGAAAAAAAAAGGAGAGAAATGGAGATAAGAAGTGTCTATGGCTTCCGTACCTGTCAGTCTCCAGCGCTCCATTGCCATCCCTCGCAGCGGAGTCTACTTCACTGGCGTTGTTGGTGTTTGCCTCGTCCCCGGAAGTGGCGTCGCTGAATCCAAACGAGCTCGAGCACTCGCTAGCCTGCTCGTCCCGATCGGTCCTCACCCCCTCGGCCTCTGGAAGTCCTAAAATCTCCACCGGAACATCGTCTTTGCTCTCCGGCTGCTGCTTTTTCCCATGCTGCTGCTGCTCCAAAGCCGGAGGATCGCTCCTCTTCACCACGGGCGGCTTCCTGTCAGTTATCTCCGCTAGCTCCGACGGGAAAAGCCCGGCGGCGCGACCCACCGGAAGGAAGGACCTTTCGGCGAGAAAGGAATCGGCCCTGTCGTCGTCGGGGACCTCCCCAGCGAAGATCGCCGAGGCCCGGCTGCCCAAGCTCTTCTTGCCCTGCCCACCCAGATACACTGTTGCCGCTTTCAGGATGGTTGAGGTCTTCTGATTACAGCTCATTGCATTGTAGCAGCGCGAGGCTCACGACGCGACGAATCCCTGTGCGACGAGCCCCGGCACATAATCTCCCTCCACCGAGTACCATGAGCAAAACCTCGTCTCTAAGAAATCGCCACAAACCCTACACCGCTCGGGCGCCTCATCCGCCGGGGCGATGGCGCCTCTTCCCAGCTACCAGAGATCGAGAGGGAGGAGGAGTGGCGATCCGCGGCGAGAGGAGAGGAGGAGACGCGTGAAATCTGACCTCGCGGCTGCTGCTCCTGCCGCTGGCGATGCTGCGCTGGATCAAGCGGCAGCTCCCGGCGCCTCCGGTGGCGAGATCGTCATCGAGCGAACAAGTCCTCCCCCTGCGCTCTCCCAGCGAGCTACCGCCTTTCGCTTTTCATTAGAAAAACCGAGGGCATAAAAAAGAGAGGAGGGACCTTCCGTTTTGGAATGGTCATGTCATTGGGCGGTGGGGATTGGAGGATCCGACGGCCACGCGCGCAGGGCCTTGGAATCCGTATAGAAAGCATATTTTAGGGTTCTTCACTCTCGTCGCCCCTCTTTCTTCATGGCTGTCGGATCCGGCAGCGCATTTTCTTCTTTCTCTCTCCGATTAGGTCGAATCTCCACGGCTGCCTGTGCGACAGCGATGGTTTTCCGTTCTTTCGTGTCGGATTATCCCCTTTTTGTTACATCGCTCTCCTCTCTCTACTAGCAAGCTAGCTAGCTCGCAATCGCTGTAGCATTCACGGCGATCGGGCTTCTCACAAAATGCTTGCCATCGCTCCAGACGAGGGCGCCAAACACGAAATCCTGGGATCGCTGCTGGACGCTCAAGCTCACGGTGAAGGAGATCTTCTGGAGCGGCCGCGTGAATTGGAGCTCCGAGGGGTACACCGACACGATCACGCCAGGAGGTGAGTAGACCTTGGCCCTGTAGTGGGATTGCGCTGGGCCGACGTTGGTTAGCGATCTGGTGACCGAGAGGCTGCCTCGCAGGTCGGCTACTCCGATGGAAGGATAGTTTAGATTGTAGGAAGCGATGGGATTGGGTGGACAGGCGGTGATCGTGAGGTTCTTCAGTGCTCCTGGGGATGGGCCGAGGCCACAGGCAAAGCTGGTATACTCCTCCAAGCTTATGTCATACACGAGTCCGGGATCCTGGGCCGCGACTGGGTTGACATGCCCGGATCCAAAATCGAAAGGAGTGGCAGGGGTGTTGGTGAAAGTGTTCTTGATCAAGCTGTTCGTGTTGTCCGAGAGGGTGGCTGGAAGGAAACCAACGAAGAATTTGGGTCAGGAACTTGGATAGCCGTGAGAAGGAAGAACAAGTTCTTTACCAGTGGTCATCATCGCCGACTTGATCATAGCTGCTGTCCAGTATGGGAATCTGGCCTTGAGCAAAGCTGCCACCCCGGTGATATGCGGGCATGCCATGGACGTTCCCGAGAGGAAGTTGTAGTCGACACTTCGGTTGCCGGCTCCTGCGGTTGCTATAGGGGGCCACGCTGCGAGGATTGTGAGGCCTGGTGCTGTTATATCAGGCTGGAGAGCAGGATGTGAGTGCTCGAGCTCTCAAGGAAACTTTTGCCACTCACCTTGATGATGTCCGGAGTAACAGTGTTGGGACCTCGCGAAGAGAAGAATGCCACTTTTGGGGACGGCTTGTCGTGGAGGACGACGTTTGTTTTGAGGAACTTGGCCATGGGAGAGCTGGTTGGTTTTTTTCCCAGGGGGTGTTAAGAGACGAGGCCGGAGATAGATACTTTTGGCTGCTCACCTGGTGGAATTTAGATATGCACGGAGAATGGACGCTTGGGCCTCGTCGGTCAGTGATGCAGGGACCACGAAAGGTTGTGCCAGGTCTTTAACTTCAGGATTGATGTCGATCATTCCAGCACCACCAGCTCGACTCACTTCGGCGGCCTTGGCTCCCCTCGACTCGATCGGGATTTCATGCTGGCAAACAACTATTTTCCCCTTGGTTCTAACGTCGTCCAGGGAGTCCGCATGGCAAAAACTGCGCAACAAAGCAACTAGGTACCATTGAGTTTCCTCGAATGACTTGTATTACCTTGCATTTGCAGGCGTCACTCCTGCGGCAGCAAGATCCTTTCCCAGAACCACAGGGAAGAACTGAGAATCGTATGGATTAACAGCGAGTCCCTGTTTCCAAAGTCAGGCTCAACTCGTTGCAGATATTGTCAACAGCTTACCTGAAGTATTTTTCCGTTTCCAAGCACCACATCGGCTTCAAACCTCCTGTCTATGGAGCTCGCTGCAACCGTCAGTATCCATGGCGAAAGGTTGGTAGCCGTGAAAGGGTCTCCACTGTTTCCGGCAGAGCATGACACGAGGATGTTTTTCTGCAGGGCATGGAACGCTCCGATGGATATAGCATCCTCGAAATAGTTGGCCTGAGGAGGATCCGGGCCGATGGACGCAGATATAATGTCGACGCCGTCGGCTATGGCATCATCAAAGCCCGCTAGAATGTCGGGGTCCTTGCAGTCGTCCCAGCAAACTTTGTACGCGGCAACTCTCGAGTTTGGACTTCCTCCCCTAGCAGCTCCAGCTCCAAGGCCTCCCGGGAAGCTTATGCCGTTGACAATCCTTCCCGCTGCAGTTGACGTGGTATGTGTCCCGTGTCCGTCCGTATCCCGTGCAGATTTGATGAAGGTTTTTTGCAGCTCAGGGTCGCTGGCATCGTATCCGTTTGTGTAAAAGCGTGCTCCAATCAACTTGCTGGCATTTTGGCATCCATGTGAGATCGTCTGAAAACAATAGTTTCGGAGTTTGACTTCTTACTTGTTGCAATTACGTGCAGTGAACTGTTCTCCATCCTGGCAAGCTCCCTTCCATTTTCTTGGTATCGGTGGCATGCCTACGTCGTTGAAGCTCTTGGACTCCGGCCAGATACCTGCAGAACTTGATGGTTTGGTATGTGTATCTTGATAAACTCGTTATTTACCAGAGTCAAAGACGCCAACAATAATGTCTTGGCCAGAGGCCTCACAACCACTGGGATCGCTGTTCTGCGCCGGGAAAGAGTCGATGGTATTCAAAAAGTCCCAGGAATGGGTTGTATGGAGCTTGTGACTCTTGCTTGGGAAAATCGAAACAACCTCTTCTCTCCCTGCGACCAAAGGTAAGCATATACATATTGTCCTTCTTATTAACTCGTACTTTTTATCTGTGCAGCTTGGTCGTCGGTGAGCATGGCCGAAAACCCAGTGAAGCTGCGCTTGTAGGTGTGTATCATATTCCTCTGCGCTTCCTCAAGGCTGTATCAACAATTCAACCAAAGGTATGGGTATGCATGTTTAGAAAGCATCTAATGTCTTACGTTCCGAGTGTATCCGCCAGGAAGGAATGAACTTGTGCGTGCACGACATTATGGTCTTTGTGCGATTTCTCACCCATGTAAACGATGTATGCCTGTGCAGGGATGATGAGTGGAAAATGTCCTTTGGCGACAACCAACATTCAGTTCTAATACTCACTTTCTTGTGTGGAGCGGCCGCTGTAAGAACAAAAATGGAAGCCACGATTGTGTACCAGAGGTTGCTCTTCGTGAGACCCATGGCGCTTCTGCACAAATGCCCGGGTAAGCTTGTGTTTATATACACTTCTTGTGTTTATATTCCTCCTGGAAGCGGTTGTGGCGGAAGGGTTCGTCCTTGATTTCGTCATGTTTATAACTTATCTTTCTTGGCATATGGTTGCAGAGCGTTGTTCGATAGTTCTGGGACGCAACAGTCTCATTGTTTCTAAAACACCAAAGTGCTTCATAATATCGCGACAGTTTTTATTTCTCATTTTGGGCGAGCATGGCTTGTCGGAGATACTCGATTTCGGCGTTCTCGTTAAAGTTATCTGTTATCTTTGAAGGTTTACAGCTGTGACCCCGGTCAAAGCTAAGTTGAGTAATTCAAAAGACCAAAAAAGAGGACAAAAGGAATAGCTCATCACCTTAGCTGGTGTTTTGACATGTTTTCAGTGTATTTTGGGGTCCAGTTGAGTGAGGAGTAGGAAGGTAATTACAAATCCTCCCTTGTGGTCTCATGCTTCCAGTCGTGAATCCAGTCGGGTCTCTTTGTTTCCTCCAGGGATTGTGCACGGCCACCACTTTGCGGCTGGCCTTCTTGAGCTTGGGAGTGGCATCTTCCAGGAGGAATAAGACACTAACATTTTTGCGTCAAGCTTCAAAAGAAATAAAAATATAAATATAAATATAATGTGAGTATTTTGTTGAGAAACTAGTCTTTCATACTAGGCTATACATCTTTGGAATGGACGGTGACAAGTTTGTGACAGATTCAAGCTACACAGATTCCTTTGCAAGTTCTTATTGATTAGCATGCGCTTATCTGACTTAGATCTTCTAAGATTTACGTTTTTTATCTTGTGAGTTTTTCTGCTCATTGGCACCCTTGTCCATCCTCTCCATTTAGAAGGATCAAGAGAACTTCCACATCTTCCCGGTGAATTCGCTTCTCATCCCCGAGGAGACGGTCGAGCCCAATCCAGCCTACACCCAGACGGTGAGCGATCAAGTTGACGAGCGTCTCGGCTCTCACAAATCCCGTCTCGTCCGCGAGAGCTCCCGCGCCCTTGATGGAGAGAGCGCGCTTCGCGGATTCGACGGTCAAGTGTGTGGAGATGTTCGACCCGGAGACGTACCTCTGGATGCGAGCGATTACGTGCGCTGAGTAAATCCGTGCTAGCACATCCACTCGTCCGAAAGATCGCAGAGGATTGCTACAAACAGATTTTGCAGAGTGGACTTTCGGCTGAGAATTGTGTGTGTGTGCCTGGCAGAGTACCTAAAACTCCACATTTCTGACGTGGCAAAAATATTCGTTAGTGATATGGCTCAATCTTTGGTTGCATCCCATTTTGTATCATCTCCAGGCTCATAAAAGGAAAGAAAATAATGTAATTACTTGCCTTTAATTTTTTGTCAGCAAAAGCGAAGTTACCGGTATACCATTTCTTAAAAAGCAAGATTTGTTTTATTCACGTCGCTGCTCACATTCTCTTGTGCATGTGTGTAATTACGCTAAAAGAGATTTGCCAAAGCGAGATTCGACCACATCCTTGTCAATCCTCTCCATTTTCAAGCCACCTCCCACATCCCACCTGCGAATTCGCTTCTCATCCCCGCGGAGACGCTCGAGCTCAATCCAGCCCATAGGACGGTGACCAATCAGGTTGACGAGTGGTGGATGGAGTTTCTGGGGCTCATCCGGAGAGCAAGATGGGGCTGCTCTCCGCCTACGCATATCCAAGAGCTCCGCGCGACAAGATCATCCCAATGGCCAAGTTTATCGCGTGGTTCTTCCTCGCGGACGATGCTCTCGACTCTCCCGAGATACCGCCTACATCTCGGGGACATCCCCCCGCCGCCAAAGTAGCGGTGGCTGGATCATCCAACAGCGCGCTGCTCTCACGCCAAGTTGGAATTTTTGCCAACCTGCTGCTTCAGGGATGGACGAGCGCCAGAGAGCGCGCTTCTTGGACTCGATCAAGTGCCTAGCGATCAAGTGATCATGGCGATCCACAACGACTTGATCTCATTCAAGGAGTGGACGAGTGGGAAGTACCTCAATATGGTCTCCATCCTGGCTTACAACCACAACCTTTGCGTGAACGAAGCCATAGTCAAGGTGGTGGACATGGTCAAGGAGCTGGAGAAACGCTACCTACAAACAAAGCAAGAGATTGCATCAAGCAAAGATGGCCTTGGCAGCGAGAAGGGTGTCATGGATTATGTTCGTGCGATCGAGGTCTGGATGGTGATAAATGTGGAGTGGTGAGTGCTCGCTACCATGGCGTGGGTTGGATACCACCTGAAAGATCCGGGACCTTCTCGTTCTAACACTATTCTTCCACCCTTGAAATGAAAGATCTCTCTCCAGGATTTGTGAGAGCTTAGTTTGATCTCAAAGAAGTTGTGGCAGTCCCACTGATCTTGCTAGCTCCAAGAGTTTCAGTCCAAAGGTCTTGGAGGGTGATCATTTAGGTACCTGGGGAATGAATGGCATTGCGTAAATGTGGTGGAGGAGGAGCACGAGTTCTCGTCGTGGGCGGTCATGGATTCGCCGAGCATCGGCGCTGGCAGCTCAAGAGAGCCCAGAATCGTCGACCCAGATGCTGCTCACCAGGCACGACGTGGAGCGCCTCCCAGTCAAGGACGTCCTGGCGGCGCTCCAGCGGCAGCCACACCCCCCGGGCCTCGTCCGCGAGGCGGTGGAGCTCCTCCTCCACCGCTGCGCCGCCGAGCGAGCTCTCCCACAAGCCCACCAGCTCCACGCGCTCATGCTCGCCACCGGCGCCCTGCGCAGCCGCTACCTCTCCAACAAGCTCGTCCAGGCGTATGGCCAGTGCGGGGACGTGGAGAGCGCGCACGCCGTCTTCGCCTGCCAGCCCGACCCCAACGTCTTCTCCTGGATGATGCTCATCTCGGCCTGCCTCCGCAACGCGCTGCCCCGCGCGGCGCTCGGCCACTACCGCGCGATGCAGCTCCGCGGCTGCCACCCCGACGCCCACGTCGTGAGCGCCATCTTCTGCGCGGTGGCCGACACCGCCAACTTGGAGCTCGGGCGCTCCATCACCGCGCCGCTCGCGAGCACCGCCATGCTCCACGACCCCGTGGTGGCCAACTCGCTGCTCAACATGTACCGCCGCTGCGGCGGCATGGACGACTTCGAGCGCGCCTTCTGGGCGATGCCGTCGCGCGACGAGGTGTCGTGGACGACGATGCTGGCCGGGAGGATCCAGTGCGGCCGCGAGGCGTCGGCGCTGGAGCTCCTGCGCGTCATGGACCAGGACGGCTTCCGGATCACCAGCGCCCTCACCTTCGCGACGCTGGTGGACGCTTGCGGGAACCTGTCCGCCATCGCCCAAGGCCGCCACCTCCACGACCGGATCATCACCTCGGGCGTTTGCATCGACGTCGTGCTGCATACCGCGCTGCTCAACATGTATGCGAAGTGTGGTCGAGTCGACGAGGCCCGCGAGCTCTTCGACCAGACGCTGGAGCCGAACAACATCACCTTCTCCAGCATGGTGGTGGCCTACGCTCGAAACGGCCACTTTGGCGACGCCTTGAAGCTCTTCTGGAGCATGGAGCAGGACGGCTACAAGCCCGACAGCGTCACCTTCACGCACGTCCTCTACGCTTGCAGCCACGGCGGCTTCGTCGACCAGGCCTGGCACTACTTCACCACGCTCGAGCCCGACCGGGGGATCCCGCTGGTTGCCGAGCACTTTGGCTGCGCGGTCGATCTTCTCGCGCGTGCTGGCTGGCTGGCCGACGCCGAGAAGTTCCTCAACCGGATGCCGATCCCTCCCGACTCGGTGTCGTGGATGTCGCTGCTGCAGGCCTGCCGGATCCACCGCAACGTGGAGATTGGAGCTCGAGCCGCGGAGCACGTCTTCCGGCTGGCTCCGCACCGCGCCGGGCCTTACAGCCTCCTCTCCAACATCTACTCGGACGCTGGGAAGTGGGACATGGCCGCCAAAGTCCAGAAGTTGATGCGTGACCGAGGAATAAAGAAGCCCGGCGGCAGGAGCTGGATCGAGATCAACGGCAAGACGAGCGAGTTCATCGTGGGCGATTCCTGGCACCCGGACCTCGTCCAAATCTGCCAGGAGATTCAGAGAGTGAGCAAAGTCATGAAAGAACACGGCTACGTACCCGATACCAAGCAAGTGCTGCATGACGCTGAGGAGGAGGAGAAGGAGGACATCCTCTACTTTCATAGCGAGAAGCTGGCCATCGGGCTGGGGCTGATCAAAACTCCTCCAAAGACGACCATCAGCATCGTCAAGAATATCCGCGTGTGTCCCGACTGCCACACCGCCGCGAAGGTGATATCCAAGGTGACCGAGAGGAAGATCGTCATCCGCGACATCAACTTGTTCCATCACATGGAAGATGGAAAGTGTTCTTGCCGAGACTACTGGTAGAAGAGCTCGTTTGCGATCACCAGTAGTCTCCACACGAGCATCGCCCGTGCTCAAAGTGGTGGAACTGCTTCGTGTCCCTCAGGACAATCTGCCTGTCCTCCACCTTGCTGATGAACTTGGCGGCAGTATGGCAGTCGGAGCAAACTCTCAAGTTCTTCACGACTTGGACAGGCTCTCCACGGGGGCTGTGAAGCAGCCCCATGACCATCGCGAGCTTCTCGCTGTGATAGTAAAGGAGTCCTTCCTTCTCCTCCTCTTCCGCATTGTGGAGTGTGGCACTTTTGTCCGCAGCGTATCCGGCTTCCTTGATCAGCGCGAGCAGCCTCTTCAGCTCCAAAACTATCTCCCCGATCTTCGGATGGGACTGGTCCCCGGCTACAAACTCGTGCAGCTTGCCTCTCACTTCCACCCAGCTCTTCCCCGCTGGTTTCTTCACTTTCATGTCGTCCATGCGCTTCCTCACGCTGGCTGCCAGGTCCCATCGTCCAGCTTCCGAGTAGACATTCGAAAGCAGTACGTACGGTGTCGCAGAGCCTGGATCGAGCTCGCGGATCCTCTCCGCTGCTCGCTCCGCCAGCTTCATATCTCCATGCGTCTTGCAAGCTCCTAAAAGCGTCGTCCAGAGCACCCCCGACTGTGGAGCCTTCATCCGCTGTATGAGCTCCTCGGCATCGGCCAGTCGCCCGGCTCGGCCCAGCAGATCCACGATGCAACCATAGTGTCCCGGTAAAGGCTCCAGCTTCCTCTCGCTCTTCATGGTGGTGAAATAGTAGTACGCATCGTCGACGAGGCCGGCATGGCTGCAAGCGTACAAGACACTCACGAACGTCGTCTCGCTCGCCTTCTGCCCCGCCTGCTCCATCTTCCAGAAGAGCTTTAACGCTGTGGAGCAGTCGCCGTTTTGAGCGTAGGCGATGATGATCGCGGACCACGCCACGATGTTCTTCTCGCCAATCCTGTCGAAGATCCCGCGAGCTTCTCCCAGCCTCCCGCACTTCGAGTACATGGTGAGGATGGAAGTCTGCAGCACCACGTCAGCCTCGAGCAGCCCGAGCTCGGCGATGCGAGCGTGGAGCTTCCGGCCCTGCGAGAGCGACGCCAAGTTGGAGCAGGCGTCGAGCAGCGAGGCGTAAGTGACGGTGTCAGCGTGGATCCCCTGGAGCTCCATGAGCTTGAAGAAGTGGAAGGCCTCCCGGTAGCTCCCGAGCTGGACGCAGCCAACGATGAGGCACGTCCAGCTGACCACCTTGGCGTCGCCTCCCATCGATCGAAACACCTTCTTCACGTCGTCAAGGCTGTCGCACTTGGTGTAGAAGTCCATGAGCGTGTTCTTGACGTGATCGTCGGCCTGGAAGCCACAGCCTTCCAAGCTCGCATGGATCTTCCTCCCTCGCGAGAGATCCACCAGTGCCGAGCACGCTGCGATGGCGATGCTTAGAGTGTGGTTGTTTGGAGCAGTCCCTTCCTGGTTCATCCGGTAGAAGAGTTGCAGTGCCTCGAGTGGATGCCCGTTGCGGGCATTTGCTGCGATGATGATCGTCCACGAGTAGACGTTCCAATCTTCCATTCTCTCGAAGACCGCGGTAGCCTCTTGCACGCCACCACACCTCCCATACATCTCCATGAGCGTGTTCTCCAAGAACCTCACTCGCACAAGCTTGCTCCTTGCAATGTGCTCGTGGACGCGAATTCCCTCCGCCAGGGATCCTTGGATGCCGCATCGTCGCAGCAATGCCGCGTAGAGCTCCACTCCTGGACTGAAACCCGGCATCTCCAGCCCGTCGATGGCTTCCTCGAGCGGCAATCCTTCCATCTCCTCCGCGATCCCCATGAGACGAGCTCGACTGGATTTCCCGAATCTATCAAGCCCATCACCTGGATCCTCGTCTAGGGCTCTTCTCGCAAGCTGGGCTGCTGGTTCTCTCGATCTCCGGCTAGCGTCCGCCATGGCAATGGAAGTCCGGCTCAAGCATCGAAGAATGCGATCTCCCATCACCTAGATCTCTCCCACCACCGCCATGCTCTTGCGCTGCTCGAGATCCAGGAGAAACTTCTTCTCTACTGCCACTGTTGGTTCTTCCAGCGCCGATCTCACTCTCGACCGCGAGCTGGACCGGCTGGATCGAAGCGATGGCAACGACGGCGAATCCACCTCGGCTCCACACATCTCCTCGCTCATCCGGCGATGCATCCACGTCTGGCAGACGAAGCGTATCCACCGCCACATCCTCTCCTCGGCCACTCTCGCCACCGATCGCCTGCTGCTCAACCTCCTCGTCCAGTCGTATGGGAAGCTCGGCCGAGTGGAGGACGCGCGCAGCGTCTTCGACAGGATCCTCCACCGCAACGTCTTCTCCTGGACGATGATCATGGCCGCGTATGCCCACAACGGGCATACCACCGCGGCGCTGGAGCTCTTCCACGCGATGCTGCTCGAGGGAGCCAAGCCGGACAAGGTAGGATTCCTCACAGCCTTGGAGTCGTGCTCTTCTTCTTCTTCCTCGCCATCGGCAAGATCAGTGAGGACGATTCACGGGCTCATTCTTGCAGCAGGCCTCCAGTCCGTCACCTTTCTCGGCAACGCTCTCGCCAACCTGTATGGACGAGCCGGGCGCCTGGACGAGGCCGAGCTGGTGTTCGAGAGCATCGCCCACAAGGATGTAGTGTCTTGGAACACGATGATCACGGTGCTGGCCCGGGCTGGCAACGGCGAGCGGGCGCTGGAGCTCTTCCAGCGGATGATCCACGAGCGAGTGAAGCCGGACAGGGTGACTTACTTGAGCTTGCTCGGCTGCTGCTGCGTGGAGGAGAGCCTGGAGCACGGCCGAGAGATCCACGCCATGATCGTCGCGGACGAGCTCGAGTCGGATGTGGTCATCGCGAACACGCTGGTGAGCATGTATGGCGACTGCAGCGCTGTGGAGGAGGCCCGGCGCGTCTTCGAGAGGATGGAGCAGCGCGACGTTGTGTCCTGGAACGCCATCATCCGGGCCTACTCGCAGCACGGCCACCGCAAGAGCGCGCTGGAGATGTTCCGGAGGATGCAGCACGAGTGCTCCGTGGCTCCAAACGAGGTGACTTTCGTGAGTGTTCTCGGTGCCGCCGAGGAGGCCAGCGAGCTGAGGATGATCCACGACAGAGCAGCCGAGAATGGCTTCCACAGCTCCAACGTCTTCGTCGGGAACTCGCTCGTCCACATGCACGGCAAGTGCGGCAGCGTCCACGACGCCAAGCAGCTCTTCGATGCCATGGCCTTGCAGAGCGTCTCGTCCTGGAACTCGATCGTCGACGCCTACGCTCACAACGGGCTGGAGCGCGAGGCCTTCAAGCTCTTCCGGACCATGCAGCACGAAGGCGTCCGGCCCGACAAAGTCACCTTTCTCACCGTGCTCGAGGTCTGCACCAGCCTACGCCAGGTGAGGCTGCTCCAGGAGCTCGTCACCTCCGCGGGGCTTCGGTCGGACGTGCTCCTCCAGACGGCGCTGCTCCAAGTTTTTGCCAGGAACTCAAGCATCTCCGACGCAAAGAGAACGTTTGATGGCGTCCGGGACAAGGATCTCTTCGCCTGGAACACGCTCCTGACTGCTTACGCTCAGTGCGGGGCGGACGAAGCGGCAGTGGAGATGTTCCACCGGATGAACCAGGAAGGCGTCAAGGCAGGCGAGCAGACTTTTGTGAGCGTCATCGATAGCTGCGCGAGCCTGGGGGACTTGGAACAGGGAGTCCGAGCTCACGAGTGTGCGGCCGAGTGTGGAGTCGAGGAGTCCGTCTCTGTCGGGAACACTTTGATCACTATGTATGGGAGGTGCTCGAGACTCGAGCAAGCGAAGGCCGCCTTCGACAGGATGGAGGAGAAGAATCTCGTCTCCTGGAACGCTCTTGCGTCGGCATACGTCCAGAACGCTCAGGGTGACGCCGCGTTGGAGTTGCTCGCCTCGATGCAGCTCGAAGGCACCAAGCCGGATAGAGTGACGTTCTTCGCGAGCCTCGATGCGTGTTTCACCGACATAAGTCAGGTCCGGATGCTCCACGCTCAGATCTGTTCGGCAGGACTGCTCCAGGACGTCGCGGTGGCGAACTGCCTCATCAACGCGTACCGAAAGTGCCAGAGTCTGGAGGACGCCAAGGTCGTCTTCCAGAGCATCCAGGACTACCGGGACGTTGTCTCCTGGACTTCCATGCTGTGCTCCTGTGTCGAAGACGGCAGCCACTACGAGGCCTTCGAGCTGTGGCACCGGATGCAGCAGTATGGAGACAAGCCCGACACCGTCACCTTTGCGGGAATTCTCGATGCTTGCAGCAGCTTGAAGTCTTTAAGCCGCGGTAGGATGATCCACGAGCAAGTGAAAGGCTCGGGATACAACTCGAGCACCACGGTCTCGCCCGCTCTCATCGGGATGTACTCGGAGTGCTTCTCTCTGGAGGAGGCAGTGGAAGCCTTCGAAACAGCCGCGCCCAAGGACGCGCTGCTCTACAACTCCATGATCTCGGCCTACTCCAAACACGGCCGAGGGGGAAAGGCCATCGCTTTGTTCAGGAGAATGGACCTCGAAGGCGTCAGCTTCAACCGGGGAACTGTAAATGCCATCCTTGACGCCTGTGCTGGCCATGCCGGGCTCGTCCAAGCCAGGATCATCCATAGGAGCATAGCTGAGTCCGGCTTCCTCTCGGACGTGATCATCGACAACACGCTCATCAATATGTATGGCAAGTGCGGGAGCCCGAGAGAGGCACGGAGAGTCTTCGACTCCATGCGCGAGCGGGCGCTCGTTTCCTGGAACTCGATAGTCACGGTGGCGGCGCAGCACGGTGAGGTTGCCGAGGCACGCAAGCTGTTTCGTGGACTGCAGCAGGAAGGACTCAAGCCCGACAACGTAGCGCTCATGAGCGTCGCCTCCGTCTGCCAGCACGTTGGCCTGCTCGAGGAAGCCTTCTACTACTTGTTCCAGCTCGGAACGGAGTACCGGGTGACGGCCAAGCGGGAGCGCTACTCGTGCATCGTCGGCCTGCTGGGAAGAATCGGCTGGCTGGAGGAGGCCGAAGCCGTGATCAGAAAGATGCCGTTCAAGCCCAACGAAGCAGTGTGGAAGAACCTGCTCATGTCGTGCAAGATCCACAACGACGTTGCTCGGGGTGCCAGAGTTGCCAAGGAGCTCCTGGAGCTCGACTCTGCCGATTCCGCGACGTATGTCACGCTCTACAACATGTACGCTGGACAGCTCAAGCACTCGGAGGAGCCACGAGACTTCGAGCTGGACGAGCTTGAGGAAGCAGGACTTGATGCTTAAGTTGCTCGGAGCGCTCGACGCAGATGTTGCCCAGCAGCACGTAAGCCAGGCAGCTCTTCGTGTCCAAGTTGATGATCTGCTTCGCTGCTCGTTGTCCACGCGCAGTATCTTTGTGGAGCTTGCAAGCACCTAGCAGTGTCGCCCACATCACGGAGTCGGGAACAAACGGCATCGTCTTGACCAGCTCCTCGGCATCGCGCAGGCGCCCAGCCCGTCCAAGAAGATCCAACATGGAGCTGTAGTGTTCTTTGAGTGGAGCAACGCAGTAGTCGAGCACCATCCGGAGGAAGTAACCGTGGCCTTCGTCCAGCGCGCCAAGCCTGCTGCATGCCGTGAGAAGGCTCACGAAGGAGATGTCGTTTGGACGAAGTCCTTCCTGTTCCATAAACTTAAAGAGCTCCACGGCGGACTTCGCATGCCCACAGTGAGCATACGAAGCAACCATCGCATTCCAGGACACCACGTTCTGCTGAGGCATGGTGTCGAACACCATCTTCGCCTTGTAAACGCTGCCACCTCTTGCGTGAACCGGGATCATGGCAGTCCACGAGAAAACGTCTCGCTCCGGAAGCATAGCGAAGATCTCCTTCGCCTCGTGCATATACCCGAGCTGAGCATACGTCCCGATCATGCTGTTCCAGGCCATCATATCCCGACCCGGCATCCTGTCAAACGTTGACCTCGCTTCATCCATATACCCGCTTTGAGCATACCCCTCAACCAGGGCCGTCCAAGTCACCGTGTTCCACCTGGGCATTCTGTCTACCAGAAGCTTTGCCTCCTCCAGATATCCCATCTTCGCATAGCCTTGAACCATGGAGTTCCACGCAATGACGTCCCGCTCGGGCATGGCGTCGAAGATTGCCTTCGCAAGCTGGAGCTTCCCGTTGTCCAAGTACGCTTGCAGCATAGCCGTGAAAGATATCACGTTGTGCTCGGGCATTCTATCGAACAGAGGCTTGGCTTTCCCGATATCCCCTTCACACGCGTACGCCTTCACCATCGCTGTCCACGAGACGATGTTCCTCTGAGGCATGCTGTCAAAGACCGCCTTGGCATCTTCAAGGTAGCTGTTCTCGGCATAGGCCACCACCATGGAAGTCGCAGATACAACGTCCAGTTCTGGCATCAACTCGAAAGACCGCCTTGCCTTCTGGAGATGTCCTCTCTCTGCGTATGCCTTTAGCATGATCGTCCAGCCGATTGTGTCGAGTACGGGCATACTTATGTAGATGGACTCCGCGGCTTCCAAGTTCCCAGTCTCGAGAAAAGCCAGCAGTATTGTTGTCTGTGTTACCACATCCGACTCGGGCAATCCATCGAAGGTACTCTTGGCTTCCTCCAGATGCCCGTTCTTTGCATATGCGGATATCAAAGTAGTCCACAGGAGGAGGTTCTTCTCCGGTGCTGCGTTGAAGATTTGTTTTGCATCCTCCACTTGCCCGTTCTGCCCGTAAGCCCCCAGCATGGTGTTCCACGAGAACACGTTTGGCGTTTCAATCCCGTCGAAGACAGCACGAGCTTCACTCACGCTGTGGCAGTCACCGTACATCTCCACGACCAGGTTGGCCAAATACCTGTAGTTTCGGTAGCGGCTCTGTAGAATCCTGGCGTGAACTCGTCTGCCCAAGACAATGTCTTCACAAGAGCCTGCTCTCCTCAGCTGTGCTGCGAGCTTTTCAATTTCAATCTTCTCTTGCGACTTCTGCTCTCCGAGTCCTCCCGCTGTTACCACTGACATCACTGCTGCTTCTGAGCCTCCAGATACTGGATCCTAGAGTCCAAAACCGCCCTGTCTATCTCCATCTTAGCCAGAGCCTTCAAGCTTGTTTCCAACTCAAGGTCTCTAGTTTCGTCACCTTCGATCTGCTGGCGAATGAGACCCGTCAGCCACTCGGCATAGCAAAACGGAAATGATCCTGTTAGTCGGGTATAGAATACCGACTTGCAAAGCCGAACTGTCAACAGCTGAGCCCACTTCATGATCTGGTTGCGCCGGAGAGATCCATGCATGGACAGAATGAGTTGCGGCATTACGCTGTCCGAAGGATGCGGCTTGCATATGAGCCTCTCCATAAGTAGGCTGGCAACTTCTCTGAAGGCTATGCTGTCCTCAAGCCCGTCCCCGAACTTCACATGCTCCAGAGAAAACAGGCCGGGCTTCTTCTGCTTGAAAGTCCGCAGGATTCCATACAGGATCGCCTGGTGCTTGCCTCGAAGGTCGTACTTCTTATACTTCCAGTTCCCAATTGGAAGACCTGTCAGCTTTGCGATTTCCTCGTAGTTGATCCGCACTGCTTTCCCGTCAACCATCCCGTATCTAAAAGGATGAGCATACGTAGAAATGAAGGCCTGACATAGGTCGGGATCACTCTTGGGGACCGGCGTGAAGTAGAACAAGTCCAGGCCCAAGTCATTCAGCAGTTTCTGTCCAGCCGGCTCCAGCAACCTGGTCCGCTTCGGCTTCTCACACGTTTCGAAAGTGATGCCCGACGGTCTCAAGAGCTCCTTTTTCTTGTACACTTGTTCCACCAGCATACACTCGGCAGGCTTCCGCTTAAAGTTCTCCGCCACCACTGGCCTGTCACTTCTCCTGATAGCGGTGCACTCCTCTTGCGACAAGGAGCGCTCCTTTCCAGTTACCTCTCCACAATCCTCCCCTGTAGCTATCCTATTATGCTGAATGACTAACTTCGGCCCCGTGAAGGCGCCACGACTCGAAAACGTTATAACTATCCCGTATACTTTTCCAAAGCGCTGCATTGTTCCGATTTACTTTCTAAATTCCCCGAGAGAAAACGACACTGAATGATCAGCAAAAGTGAAAGAAGTGAAAATAAGATAAAAGCACAAGGAGAGCCCACCTATTCCTGCCGACCACACAGAACGCATAGAGCGAGATTTGCCTGGAAACTTGGTGCCATAAGCTTAGCTTGAAGACATCGAGAAAAGACGATCACCTTGGACTTGTAGAGTTCAAACTTTGCAGCGAAGTCACTGGAAAGCTCGTCAAAGTGCGCCCTGCACGCGGGGCGAGGCGACATTTGCTGGAGAAAAAGCGGAAGAGAATCAAAGAGGCTCACTTTTTCCTGTGGATAGACTCGGCCTCCACCACTGTGTCTTTCTTCAGCACCTCCAAAGCATCCGCGAGCGCAACGGCGTCTTTATCCAGCTTGGAAAGCTCCCTCTGGCTCCTGAGAATCGAAGCCGAAACGAAGCCGCTTTGCTTCAAGATTCCATCAGTCTCGCTATCCAAGCGCCGGGACTCAGCATTCACTGTAAGGATTGAGAATCATCACTCAAATCGCTTTCGTCTGATTCGATATCACCGATAGCTTACCGCATTCCAGATCCTTCTCAAGAGCTCGTATCACAGCTTCTTGCTTGTGCCGCTCGGCGCTCACCACCGCCGCCTTGTCCTCATAGTCTGCCCCAACACCACCAGCCGCGTCGCAGATTTCCAGAGGCACAGGGATTTCGCGTACCGTTCATGAGCCTGCGCAGCGATCTGAGATGGTCGAGGTAGCCCTCCATCGCCGCAGCTCGCCCTGCCCAGTCGCAAGAACCCTAAAAAGTACGTGGAATATCCATAATTTGAAAGTTAGGGCTCTTCATTCTACCGGGCTTTTTGGGCGAGAGGGACAAGGGGGATTCGCGCTAGGGCGAGAGGGACACGCGGGCCAGGGGATGCGCGCTATGTCGTCAAAACTAATGAGAACGATTGGTCCGCCGCCATTATTGCTCATATATTCTTCCCGTGAATTCTTTGGCATCACAATGCGGATCATTCTCCGGAGGAGGGAGGATGGAAGCGAGCCAGTTGTTATCCAGCTTCTCTCGCCACTGTTGCTGTTGCTGCATTTCCCCTGGTATAAATCTCTCGATCCATTCGACTGGGGTTCTAAGGGGTTTTTTTATCCAGGTTCCTTCTTAAGTTGGAATGGAGACATTGGAGATCCCTCTCCAGAAGTCTCCCGGAGTTCCAGCTTGCTGGAAGAAGGGAGCTCTGATCGGAAGTGGATCCTTTGGAAACGTCTATGTTGGCTTTGACAGGTTTCTCTCCTTGGTTTCTTTGGTGATCCTGTTGAGTCTTCCTCTCTTTTTTTTTGTTTCTTCTTCAGCTATATTGGAAGGTTTTGTGCCATCAAGGAGGCCATGATCTCCTGCAGTGACTACAGGTCTCAAGAATGTTGCAAACAGCTGAGACAAGTAAGCTTCTTCCAGCTTTTCTTTTTCGTGGTTCTCCTCTTGTTTGTTTTGACATGGTTTCTTCTCTCGCGTTCGCAGGAGATTGCTATGTTGAGCCGCCTGAGGCATCCAAACATCGTCCAGTACTACGGCTCCGAATCAGTACTTCGCTCTCTCGTCGCTTGATGGATCGACGAAACATGCCTTTGTTTTGTCCAGATGAAGGATAGGCTCCATATCTACTTGGAGTTTTTATCCGGTGGCTCCATCCAAAAGCTCCTCCACGAGTATGGCGCCTTCGAAGAGCCAGTGATCAAAAGTTACACACGGCAAATCGTGTGTGGCTTAGCGTACCTCCACAGCAAACAAACCGTCCACAGGTAACACCAAAAGCAGTGAAAGTTCCTCCTACTAAAGCTTCCGGTTTTGCAACAGGGATATCAAAGGGGCAAACGTCCTCATTGACTCGGATGGAAATGTAAAGCTCGCGGACTTTGGAATGGCCAAACACGTAAGTCTCTCGCAGTGATTTTCTCAGATCGCGCTCTAACTTCCATCCAGGTTACTGCCAAGTCGTTTGCACGCTCGCTAAAAGGCTCTCCATACTGGATGGCTCCAGAGGTTTGATAGTTTCGAGCGAGAACAAGCGCTCACTAACTTTCTTCCAGATTTTGAAGAGCCGCTGCAGTGGCTACGATCTCTCAGTCGATATATGGAGCCTCGGCTGCACGGTGATCGAAATGGCACAAGCAAGACCACCATGGAGTGACTACGAAGCGGTTCGTGCAATCTTTTCCAAAGTTCTCAAAGTTCTCACTGTTCTTCTTTCTTGTCTCCACAGGTTCCAGTGCTCTACAAACTGGCCACCACTCTGGAAACACCCCGAGTCCCCGACTTCCTCTCGGACCAAGCCAAAGACTTTCTCCGACTCTGCCTCCAGCGAGATCCTTCTCACAGACCCACCGCTTCTCAGCTCTTCTTCCATCCCTGGTTCACTGCCAATCACTTCCAGCATTCCTACGAGCCTCAGCTTGCTCAAGTCGAAACCGTGGCTTGAAAACTCGAGAATCGAAAGATAAGTTAGTCAGCCGTGGATAGAGGACCCCCACAAGCTCGGATCTCCTTCCATCATCTCCTACCATAAGAGATCATCAAAGCTAAATAGAGTTTCTAAGATGGAACCTGGAGGAACTCCTTGACCATCTTCTTATAAGTTATGTACTCGTCCCGGATCTTTCTCACGCACTCCTTTGGTGCCCTCCGGCTTTCCTCCAGCTCCACGGCAAACTTTGCGTCGTCCACCTCTTGGCGCAGCTGCCCGAGCTCCTCATCGAGCGAGACAAGCTCTTGCGCGCTCTCTTGGAGCTCCCGGTGACGCTCCACAATCTCCAAGTCTACGAACTCCTGATCCAGTTCCGCGGCTCCCAGGACCTCCTCCCTCAGCATGAGGAGCTCGCAAAGAAGCTGGCTCTTTCTCGAAATTGCCTGGTCCTCTAGCTTCACTGTTTCATCTTCTGGATTTCCAGTTACTTCGATGCCACCTTCTGCCTGTTCGATCTCCACAGCTCGGGGTTCTTCCACCACATCCGTGCTCGAGGACACAGCAGCTTGGTCCTTGTCTAGTTCCTTGGATAGAACTGCTTCGTCTTCGTCCACGGGGTCCCGGCAGCCTTTCGGTCCAAGTTTCTCGTCCGGTTCTCCAGCTGCTTGATCCTCACCAAGCGACGGTGGTGTGTTTTCGAGTTTGCATGAAGAAGCAGCTTCTTGGTCCTGACCCGTTTCTTCGAGTTTGCATGGAGAAGCCGCTTGGAAGTCTTCGTTCTCGTTCGGTAACGGTGTCGTCTCTCCAGCTGCTTGGTCCCGACCCGGTGTTTCTTCGAGTGTGCATGGAGAAGCCGCTTGGAACTCTTCGCTTTCGTTCGGTGACGGTGTCGTCTCTCCAGCTGCTTGGTCCTGACCCGGTGTTTCTTCGAGTTTAACCGGAGCCTCGAGTTTGATAGCCGCTTGGAACTCTTCGTTTTCTTTCTTCAGTGGGCGATCCGCTTCCGAGAGGGTTGACGAGAGGGTTGACGGTGGTGTTTCTTCGAGTTTAACCGGAGCCTCGAGTTTGCATGGAGAATGTTTGATAGCCGCTTGGAATTCTGCGTTTTCTTTCTCCGGTGGGCGACCCGGTTCCGAGAAGGTCCACGTAGCTCCTTGCTCTTGTTCCATGATAGCCACCGCGCGTTTCTTCTCCGGCGATGATCCTGAATCCTCAAACTCCTTTCGTCGGCGGCCTCTCTCGCGCGGTGACGCTTCATCGGACGTGGAACCGCCGCCGCGTCCAGCACTCACGTACCTCCGTTGCTTGATCCGGCTCCCTTTCGCAGCAACGCCAATCTCATCGTCCTCCGCGGAAGATCCTCGCTCCTTTCTCTTCCTCTCGTGGCCTGGAGCGCTCTCGAGCTGGCTGCGAATGAGCCCGGACAGCCACTGCCCGAAGAGAAACACCGACTTCCTCTCCTTGCTCCTCACCACCGCCTCGAGCATCCTCCGCGCCATGAACACCGCCCACGGCATCACGACCCCGGCCGCCAGCGAGAACCTCATCCCCAGCAGGAGCTCCGCCTCGGCGTACTTGTGGCTATCGGTCTGGCACAGCAGCCTCTCCGTGAGCATCCGGGCGATGGCGATGAACTCGTCCGCGTTGTCCACCCGGCGGCTCATCCGCGGCAAGTAGTAGTTCTCCCCGGAGTGCTTCATGCCCGGGAACATCTCGCGCAGCATCGAGGCATTCTCCGGCGCCGCGAGGGGCTTGCCATAGGAGGAGCTTCCCATCGGCAGGCCGGTGAGTCGCTGGACGCTGTGTGCGCACAGGAAGACGCTGCGACCCTGGACGATGCCGTGGCCGCCGTCGATCGACGCCTTCCTCGCGAACGTCTTGATGAACTGCGTGCAAAGATCCTCGTCCAGGGCGGGCACCGGGGCCAGGACGAAGCGGCGGAGCTCCAGATTCTCGAGCAGCACCGAGATTTTGGAGTCGCCGAGAGCAGCATTGGGCGGCGCGGCCGGGAACTCGTAGAATCGGATCTCTCGCCTCTTGAACACCGTGATTTCGTCCTCCAGATCCTCCATCGCTCCAGGGATTTCATGCAAATGCGAGCTCACCGGAGAGAACACGCCCCCATTCTCGCACGCGCGCTCGTCCTGTGCTCCATTGTTCTAGGGCCAAATCTGTCAAGTTTAAGGAGGACATTCCGTCAAGTTCGTTCAGAAACTGGGGATATTCTGTCAGATTTAAGGAGGACATTCCGGTAAGGTTAGGGTATTCTGTCAACTTTGAGGAGGACATTCCGTCAAGTTCGTTGGGTTTCCAATATTCTGTCAAGTTCTTCAGGTTTAAGTTTTTATTTCAAAGCGGAGAAATGGCTCTCTCTCCTCCGCTGCCGCAAGTGATTCCCGCCAGGAAAGCGATCATCGCGCTGCCGGCTTTTCCGATTCACAATCGCGCGCCATCGCTGCTCAAGAAAGATCCATCTTCCTCCGCGAGCCCCAAGCCGGAGCTGGAGGAATGGCACGCCCAGGCGGCCCAGCGGGTAAGGCAGGAAATGCTGCTCCAGATCGAGGCGGCACCGCAGGCCGAGATCCCAGCGCCGAGGCCGAAGGTAATGCAAGCATTCTCCCGGAGGAAGCGTCCTGATCCCTCTCCCGATCCTCCCGCGGCGGCGATGCCAGAGATGGTTTCTCTCGAGGCCACCACGCCTCCAAAGCGCAAGCGCGGGCGGCCTCGCAGGCATCCAGCTCCAGAGATGGTTCCACGCGAGGCCAAGCGCAAGCCCGGGCGCCCTCCCAGGCAAGCTCCAGAGATGGATTTTCGTGATCAGGCCATGCCTCTCAAGCGCAAGCCTGGTCGCCCTCCGAGGCAAGCTCCAGAGATGGATTTTCGTTATCTGGCCATGCGCAAGCCCGGAGAGATGGATTATTGTCATCTGCCCATGCCTCTCAAGCGCAAGCCCGGTCGGCCTCCGCTGATGCCAGCTCCTATCCAGGTGATGGAGCCGCCGCCTCCACCGATCGCCCAGCTCCAAGCTCAAGCTCGTCGCCAGAGGTTTCAATCGCTCAAGCTGGCGTGCAAGGATCTCGCCGCGAGGATGGACGCGTTGGAGAAGAAGTGGGATCTTTGAATTCATCCATCCATCGCTCGCTCGCTCGCTCGCTCGCTCGCACGAAGCTAGTCTCTTTGTTTCCTCTTTGAAATTGTTCTAGAAAGTTTTGGTAGAATGTATATAGCATTGCGACTTGCGACCGCGTGATAATCTATCTCGGCCACTTCCTTTAATGTGTGTGATTTTAGATCGAACGGCCCATGTCGTCTCTTGACTCTCGTCCGTTGGATTTGATCCTGGGGTATATTTTCTCCAGGGTATCGAGAGAAATATTTCACTCTTCCCAGCTAGGAAAGAGGAGGAAGAAATGGCGCCATCGCCGTCGCCGATCGCCACATTCGTCCCGGTCGCCCCCGATTCCCACTTCTCGATCCATAATCTGCCGTATGGGGTGTTTAGCTCGCGATCGGATGCCACGCCGAGGCCCGGAGTCGCGATTGGCGAGCAGGTGCTGGATCTGAGCGCTATCGCGGCGGCGGGATTGTTCACGGGGCCATTGCTGCGCGATTCGGATTGCTTCCACCAGGTACTAGCAAAGATTTTTCGCATCGCCGGGTGATTTGCTCGTTTTCCAGACTTCCCTCAATCGCTTTATGGCTATGGGACGAGCGGCCTGGAAAGAAGCACGGGGCACCGTCCAAAAGCTCTTATCCGGTAAGCTCTCGAATATCTTGGTAGGATTTTCATGGAGCATTGATTGCTACTGTTACGTATGTCTAGCGGACGAGCCAGCTCTCCGAGACAACACCGATCTACGGAAGAAGGCATTCTTTCCATTGGTAGCTAGAGAAAAATTTCTTGCGTTGTTTATGAATCATGCTCGTCACATTCTTTCCTTTGTGGCAGAACGAAGTGAAGATGGAGTTGCCAGCGGTAATTGGTGACTACACAGACTTTTTCTCCTCGAAGCATCACGCCCTCAATTGCGGCAAAATATTCCGGGGCGTGGATGCTCTTCCGGACAACTGGTACGCTTTTCGCAAAGGATTAGAGTTCACGTCATTCTAAGCAAAGGTATCATTGGCAGGCTACATGTACCAATTGCGTATCACGGACGTTCTTCGTCGATAGTGACCTCTGGCCACCCAATCACTAGACCCTGGTGAGGATAAGATTGGTTTTCGATCGGTTTCATCGCACACGGAATTGATAGAAGTTATGTTTTGCAGTGGCCAGGTAGCTCCAGCAGCTGGATCGTCCTCTCCGGCATTTAAGCCTTCTAGTCTTCTCGACTTTGAGCTCGAAATGGTATGTCAAAGGAAACTTTACAGTGGATTTTTCTAGTTAACGGGCTGTCTGTCAGGCCATGTTTGTTGGCCCAGGAAACGAACTAGGAACGCAAATTCCTGTGGAATCCGCCTACGATCACATTTTTGGCCTGGTTTTGATGAACGACTGGAGTGGTAAGTATGCAACAACCTTCGTTCATCTTCCTGCAAACAAATTAACAGTTTCGATCGAACAGCTAGAGATATACAAAGGTGGGAGGCGATACCTCTTGGCCCGTTTCTGGGGAAAAGCTTTGGTACTTCCATGAATTTCTGGTTCTGTCTTTACGTAACAAAGCTCTTTCCAGCAACAACAATATCTCCATGGATTGTAACTTTGGAAGCTTTGGAGCCGTTTATCTGCAACCCACCTGCACAGGTAATCCAGTACTTCTACACGGTAATGTATCGTAACTGTCACCATTACAGGATCCTCCACCATTGCCATATCTGAAAGAGCCTCAGGGAAAAAGCTATGACATTGCACTCGAGGTACCTTGATTAGTTCGCGTGAGCTGCGCAAGACGAGTTGATGATACCAGGTTACCATAAAACCGGACGGGGACCCGAAAGGATCAACCATCTGCCGAAGCAACTTCAAGCATCTGTAAGTGTGCGACAAACTGCAATCAAAGCTCACAAGTTTGCTGCCGAAGGTACTGGACGCTGGGGCAGCAACTTGCTCACCACACTGTCAATGGTTGCAACCTCCGACCGGGCGATCTCCTCGCGTCAGGAACTATAAGTGGTCCGGTAATGAAAGTTGCTGAAGTTAGCGTCATTACTGAAGAGAGACTGATCAACCAATGGCAGGAACAAGGAAGCCTCGGTTGTCTCCTGGAACAGTCGTGGGGCGGCCGCGAACAAGTGGCTCTAGAGAATGGTGGCAGCCGAAAGTTTCTGGAAGACGGGGATGAAGTGGTAATAAGCGGCCAGTGCAAGGTAGAAACGACGTACTCCAGATACTGCAATGACTAACACAGCACTTCACAGGGCGATGGATATCTAGTTGGTTTTGGGACGTGTAGCGGCAAGTTAGAGCCCCCAAGATGTTCGTGTTAGAACACGACTTAAGGGCAAAGAGCATTTAGCCTAGTTAGCGGTGAGTTTTTCCTCTTTCTCTTCGACTAAGCTTTCTGGGCTTTGCAGACGACATCCAAGCGACAAGAAGATCCAAAAGAACAATGAGCAGGGCCAGGGTGTATGCCAGGAAGCCACTCGTCGAGGACGAGGTCGAAGATGAGATTGCCAGGGTGAAGCTGGAGCTAGTGCGCATGAAGCGAGAGGTGCTCGCTCGCCAGGAGAGAGCGGAGCGGTACAAGCGGGAGATCAAGGAGATGGAAGCGAGGAGGAACGGCGAGAAGGTGGAGGAGCTGCGGCGCGAGAGGGAGAAGCTCCTGGCCGAGAGAGCGGCGCTGGCGGACAGGCTCCGCGAGGCGATGGCGACCCAAGAGGGGAAGATCGCCGGGGTGGAGTTCGAGCAGCACCGCGAGCTGTTCACGGCAATGTACATGGCGGTGGACAAGACGAAGAGAGAATACGAGCGGCTGCGCAAGAGCAAAGCTGGGAACTAGAGCCGGTTCATTGCTACAAAAACTTCCATCCAAGCTTCTCGTTCTTCTTGGAAGGAAGTCTGTGTGGATCGATCGATCAATAGATAGATACTTACTGCTACTCTGACTATCCGGCCTTAGCCTCTACGAACTCCATAGCTTTCGTTTTTACGTGCTCGATCCGGGTCTCGTCGCCCTGGCCTTTCTCGAAGTCTAGATACTTTTTGAAGAGGAACTGGAAGCCAAGGTGTGAGCTAGAGAGAATGAAAAGCTGTTTTCTACCTTCATCTTCTTTGCTGGTAAATCCAGGCACGTAGCTCTCTCGAACAAGTTCCTGACGATTGCAGTGTCTCCTAGTCGAATTTCCTGGAAAGAAAACAAACGAGTTGGATACATGCGAGAGGAAGTGATTGTTCTTGCCTGGTCCAAGTATACGCTCCAGAGGTCTGTCTTCTTGGGATAGTTGCGAAGGACGCCATCGAAGATCTCGCGCGCTCGCTCTGGCGAGCCCGACTTGAACTCGAGGATGGCGGCTCGCGAGATGAACTTGATGTGCTTGTGGCGAGGGAGAGCGACGCATGCTTGCTCAAAGGCTTTGCGTGCTTTGTCGCTCAGCCCTCGGCCTAGCAAGTTGCTTACATGCCTCAGCCACACCTGGGAGAGACAATGTAAGAGCTAAAAGTTGATAGAACAAAACAATCATCACAAACCTTGGTAGAGGTTTTAAACTTGCGTGTCATCGATTTCATCAGCGCGTCAGTCATTTCGTGCTGGTTTGTGCTCTCGTAGACGCCAAGCAGGGACAAGTGAAGCTTTTTGGGATCACAGTACTTCATCGCTCTTTCGAAAAGTGCAGACACGGCCTCCTGGAGGAAAATTGCTTAGTCTTTCCAATCTCTGGAATGGAAGCCGTGACATTACCCGAGGAGAGGGTGCATACGAGTTTTCCAGGTTGATGTAAGCCGTCCATATGTTCATCTTTTCCATCTCTTCTCGGTAGTTTATCGTCTCCAAAGCCCTGTACAAAAACGAAACAGCTCGCGTTGTAGCACCTAAGAAGGAAGTCGAACGCGAGTGTTACCTGTCAGCCACTGCTCGCGCTTTGTCCGGGTCCGCGAGACGCAACCAGTAAGCCATGTATTTGATCCACACGTAGCTACTGTTTGGCGATGCTGCTACAAGCCTTTCAAAGTCGTCTTCGGTTTCTGGAGGCTGGTCCTTCTGTAAGAATTTCTCTTCTGCTGCTCGAACGGCAGCCTCCCTGTTTAAAAAAGTCACATGAGACAAGTAAATACAAACCAGAAACCATACCTCTGCTCTTTCAAGCGCTTCTTCTCCTTCTTGGTCTTTTTCTTGCTCTCTTCCGCTGTGAGAGGCTTCTCGTCTTCTACTGGCACTTTGTCCTCAACGTCTTCTTCGAGATTGACTTCCAGTGGATCGACATCCGTAGCCATAGGAGTCGCCTCGGTGTCCAGATCCAAGTAGTCCTCCTCCTTTTCGTCAGTTTCCATAAGCACGTTCGCAGTCGAAGGCTCTTCGGCTACAGGTTCTTCGTCCATCGTCTCGAGGCCATCGTCAGGGGTCAGATACGACGCTTTCATTCCAAGGGAAATACGTTTGGTTTCCGCGTCAACCTGGATAAAGAGATATCATAAAGCCGTAGTTTCACTAACAGCTTCTAGCTCACCTTCAGGATTTTTACTTGTACCCGTTGGCCGACTTTATAAAGTGTTGGCAAGTCTTGAATAAAATCATCAGATACTTCGGAGACATGACACAAGCCAACCTGAAACTCAGAATAAGAATTTGCCAGCAAGATAAAGACCGACTGTGCAGCTTACACCATCGCTGTCGGCAAGGGCGACGAACATCCCGAATGCTTCGATGCTGCGTATGCGGCCACTAACGATATCACCAGCGCAAAAAGTCTTCCAGCTACTTGATTCTTGTGATGTTGTCAATGACATTTCAACGTGCCCAGACAAGGGCCGAACGCTTAGAATTCTGAAAGAGAGACATCAGCAACCACTTTCATAAAGAGAATAGCTCTTACCTTCCCGATACCAGCTTGCCTGCGGGAAACATTTCTGCGGGGTTTTGGACAAACGAGCTCGATAAGTTCTTCAAAAGAATCCTAGCGTCGACTGAAGGTGACAGGATCACAAAGCAGCCTTTCTCCGTCAGATCCTTGACAAAACCCTGCGATACAAAAATGGGTCACAACCACGCTGCATGCATACGCGGCTTACTTGCACTTGCATATCTTGCTGAAGCTCCGACACGGAATTGACAATGCAAGCGTTGGACTTTCTGAAATACAAAGTCCGAGTCAGTGTTGCAGTACGATAAATGTAAAGCTCGGTTTACCTTTCAAGCGTTTGATAGCTCGGAAGCGACTCAAAACCACCATGTCCACCGAGCGATGGTCTCAATGAAAGTTCCAAGGACTTCGTCCCCTTCAATGTTGGCTTCAAATCCAAAACCCTGCACCTTACGAACTTTCCCTCTGTGAATAGACTGGCTGGGTCATCCATCCACGTATCACCCAGGTGCGTTACGTGAACTCTCCCGAAAGTTTCCCAGCCGACTTGCACCGTAAGCCCGCCATCACCAGGACGAACTCGTGTAATGCGTCCGCCTAACAGGTCGCCCTTCTTGAAATCTTCGTCTTTTGGCCGCAGTGACAAATCCACTTGCTTCTTTTCGTGGTTAACACTTCTTATATGGCACTGGAAGGCATCACCGACTTTGAAGCGCTCTTGGAAACGCTCAAGCTCCGAGGGATCGTCAGAAGAGTCCAGGATAAAAAGGCGGCCCCTCAGATGGGGTGACAAGACTAACCATGCCCAACTTTCTTTCACTTCCTGGACGTATCCGACAACCGTCTGGCCAATGGTTACGGTCTCGAAAGTGATGACTGAGCGTGCAGAGTCGTTTCCTGCAGGTCATGATAAAGTAAGGCAATCCAAGGGGCAGACAAACCTGTAAGCTCAGATGGACGTAGAGATAGATCCAAAGTAGGAGCATTTCCGTGCTTTCTGCTGGTTTTGCGTTTTGAAAGGATTTTAGCTCGAACAGTCTGCCCAGCATTGTACTTTCTTAACGGATTCCCTTCTTCATACTGATCGACAACCTGACCATCGAGGATTTAAAGACAGACTGAAACACACAAATACAAACCTCTGTAATGTGTACATTTCCACGTAAACTAATCCCGGCCTGAATGATCATATGTAGTGACGAAATTTCTTGGATCTGATATAGAATGGTAAGAATCAATATAAAGCTTCCAGATAAATTGAACAAACCTGGCCTTCGATGATTTGCACCAATATCATTCTTCACGTAGGTGAAAAAGGTTGGTTTCGTATCCGCAAGCAGCAGAAGCGTTCTTTCACCTACAGACTCGGATCCGAAAGAATAAATAGTTGCCGAAAATCTATAACTACCAGTTAGTCACTTCCACAGAAAAAAACCCTTCTTACTTTTGTCCAGGGCTGTAATGGTCATGAGGTCGCAGCACTCTGATATTATAGTCACGAGTCGACGCAAACCCAATGGAATTTTCAAATTTTGGCAGTGATAAAACCTGAAATATACACATGGACAGAATCTCATCAAGAGAAGATAAACAAAGCATACACACCAGATACTCGTCCTTCACGAGCTCCACAACAACTTCTACTCTCTGATGAAGTTGTAGAACAGCCTTTGTTTTCTGTTGAGAAACAGGTACGAGTAGAGAGAGTTTGTTAGTATCAGGCAGCATTACCATTATTTAATCACGTTTTACTGATCATACCTTGAATTTCAACATTCTCTTCTGCAGAGAAAGGTCGACAATGCCGTCTGTTTTAACGACATCAAGGATACACGCTTTCACCGCTGCACCAACCTCTACCGGACTATTAGCTGTGAAAGAAACGTTTTAGAAAGACAATCACAGCAAAAGAAATGAGTTACCCACATTGATAGTGTGTGGCGAAGCCAACGACGTCTGCATTGTCCTTAAGATTAAGAATGATGCCATAGTCTTTGACCTCTTGAACATCAGCCTCGACCAGTTCTCCAATTTGCAATTTATTTCCCCAATCTAGACCTTCTTTCTCCTTCAACTTCGCTATCTGCATCCGAAAAGTATAAGTATGGGCATCACGAATTATCATATGTACATACCAATTCCTCTTCTAGAAAGTACCCTTGTATAAGTGAAACATCCGTAGAGAAGCATGCAGACTGTTTCAAGCTCAAAACAAATTTCTCATTTTCAGAATCGACCTGCCAAAAGATCAAAATTACTGGAAACATTGTGCTGGGAAAAAGGAAAGAACATCGTACCTCCAAAACTTGAGCTCGTACGGATTGACCAACAAAGAAAACTTGAGAAAGATCTTCCAAGTAGCCATCGGACGCCTGTGAAAAAATAATGTAAACTCGATACAAAAGTAAAAGATAACATACGTTACCGATGGGTACAAGGCCTGTGACATTGTCCAGAAAACTAACCAAGCAGTATTTGTCATGTATGACGGAAATATAGCCCTGAGCATTTTGAGTCAGAAAGAAGAGAAAAAAAATGGGATAACTGTACCGGTAAAACTGCCATTGGAGAAAGCTGATGAATGGATGATGGAAGTGATTCAGCAGCGTCAATAAGGGAGTACTTTGCCGTCAAAACCAGCTTCGAGTGCTCCTGACCTGTTCGTAAAACATGACGTTCCATATCAAAAATATAGTAAGCGTCTTACCGAGAACAAGCAGTCGATCAAATTTAAACCCAGGCTTCAACAGCGATCTCATCTGTTCCGCATGAACTGCAAGACCATACCAAAGTTGATAACGTTTTCACAACAGGGAAAACACAAGAAAACATACCCGGAGTATCACTTAAATGCTCATAAGACATCGTTGAGGCTATATCGTCGTTAACTTGTAACTCGATTTGCGAACTGCCCATTTGTGTGATAACAGCAGAAACCACGCTCCCAGGCTTGACGTCTGGCCTGTAAATAATAAGGTGAATATCAAACATCCAGGAAAGTCCAACTGTACCTCAAAGACATGTTAAAGCTCAATCTAAGTCTTCTTTTGCTTAAATCTGACTCCAATACTCTACACTTCACAACTTGCCCAACGTGAAAAGCAGCTTCAATTGGTGTGTCAGGACCGATTCCTAACTCGGACCTGAAGGAGAAGTAATCAAACTGTAATGAGAAACAATCCTCATGTTTACCTGTGTACAAGACCCTTCACATGATTGTAAAACTCCATAAAGCATCCAATGTTGCTGATTCCTTGGATCCATCCATGAGTTACAAGCCCGTCGACAGCATCCTCATATGCTGTTATTAGCGGCAGCTTCGATGACACCTGCAATCTCAGGTTTAAGTAAGTGTATTCGAAAGAAGCAATACGAAGCATACCAAACTCTTTTTGAAAGTTAGAGAGAGTTTTTTCTTTTCATGGTCATACTGAAGTACCCGGAACTTCATTTTTTTTCCAACCTGAAAACCCACAATTTTTTGTTTTTTTCAGACTGAGAAGATGCTCACCTCAAACTTCGATGATGGTTTTAAACGATTATACTCGGACATATGCTGAACTGGACAGAGTCCCTTCACTCCACCGAGAGATACAAGGGCCCCGCATGCTTCCACTCTCGTTATTACGCCATGAACAAGCGCGCCGGGCTTTAAATCTAGCTTGTTGACGACGCCCTTCACCATGGATTCCTGAAATCAAAACGTTCTATTATAAACAGAACATAAGAACAACGCTACCTTAAGAGTCAGAGTTGCCATCCTATCCATTAGCCTGAACCCAATTATTCGGGCTCTAACTCGCTGGCCGTCCTTGAACTTCTTCTCTAGTTTGTCGACTTTCACGTCAGAAACATCTGCGTGCTACAAAAAAAAGACGAACGTTGAGCATCGCCCATGACCAATAAAATTACTCACATTGACATAACCAGCCACATGAGGTGTAGCAGGAAGCTCTAAAAGAAGACCAATTGCTGGATCCACCCTTTTGATCCTTGCAGCTTCAATAACATCGCCCCTGTTCAAAGACTACCAACATGTTTATTGCTTAATCATCTAAACATCAAGGCAACGTACTGGAACGACAATTTCGGCATCGACTAAATGCGATCTCAAACTCAAGCGAATGCGTTTCGTTCTGGCATCGATGAATATAATGCGTGCCTTAAACTGACAAAACACAAAACCAGTTCAGCTTTTAGTGATAGCATAATCTTACCCGCTTTCCTTCAGTATAATCTTGTGCCCAGTCCTTGCTCGAAAGAACACTCTGCAGATGAAAAATGTCCACCTGAAACGCCAACGTCAAAAGGTTCAAAAATTTAAAGAATGAATATCCTTACAATTCCCGTAAAATATGTAAGGAAGGAAAGAAGTACTCCATTTCTCAAAACAGCTTGGACGCATCCATTGACCAACGCGCCAGGAACAAGAGTTCCTAGCGAGAGGTTCTCGTGCTCTTTCATCTGAACATTGTTCGCGATGACAAAAGTTCTCAACAGCCGACATAAGAAAAAACTTACAGCAGACGATAGTTGCATCGTCGTGAGGTTGATTACACCACGCTTCTTGTCGATTGCAGAGACACAGCTTTGCATTATTTCACCAACACGCAATTTCTCACCTAAAACGAAAGCTTTTCAGTAGAGTTATAATGTTTTCTTCTCACCTTGATGATCTTTGTGGAGCAGGAAACCTGACATCTCAGGCAAGCCGAAGGACAAGACATACCCATGGTCTTCGATACTCTTCACTGAAGAAATCATCAGCTGCAAATAAGAGAAATTGTGTGAGAGTTTGCTATCCAGATAGTTACGTACCTGTCCAACGTAGATCGTGTCCATCGTCATTCCTTCATTAAAATGTCGAGGAAGTAGCGAGAGAACCGCTCTCCTGGGCTGCTTCTTCTCGCCATCACCCTTCGTCTCCTCCAGGTTCAAGAGAGTACAGGAAACGTACTGTCCAACATGGAATAGTTCCTCCAACAAAAGGTGGCATTTTCCCTGGCACAGAAATGTCAAGCTCTATCAAAAGGGAGTGTAAAATAGATACCTTATCGTCGCTCAAATCTGGAGTATACTCGGGAAATGCCTCATCTATTTTAACAAATCCATGCAATCCATTTGGAAGGCTGATGGAAAGATCAGTCTTATTGATGCCAGAAACAGCGCCCCAGAGTCGCATTCCAGAACATAATTTCTGACGAAGAAGAGAAGTTAGCTAGAAGAAAGAAGAAGAAATGGATTCTCACCCTGAATTTCAAAAGCTCGACTGATTTTCGAGCGTTCCCAGAGAGCAAAAGAGTTTCTTCCTCGGGATCCTCCTCCACCTTCCTCTTCTTCTTCTTCGTTTTCTTCCCCAAATTCTCATTTTCTCGATTAAACTCCGCCTCCGCCTCGGCTCTAGCCTCTTGGATTTCGGCGGCAGACAATGCCTGCTTACCTCCTGCGCATAGAAGTGTTTAATCGAGGAGAAAGAATCCATTCTAATCCCTAGCCGGCACACCTCGCGGGAAATCTTCCTCATCGTCATCGTCAGCGCGCTCCAATTTGCGCTTCCCTCCTCCTGCCATCGCGCTCTCTAAAAACCCTAGAATCCAGGCCCCTTAAACCCTAAACCATCCCCCTCTTTTTTCCAATACATTTATTCCCTTGGACACACAGCCAGGAAAAACAAACCAGATCCGGCCAGATTCTAGTTACGACATTTCGGTCGCTCGATCGATCCAAGAGAAAACCGAGAAATTGGAGCTGCCCAAGAGCCCATCAATTCGATGCAATCGTGGGATTTTGGTTTCCCCAAAGAGTGATCTCTCTCTCTCTCTCTCTCTCAGGCTTGCTCTTCCACGAGGCTATGGCGGCAGATCGGGCAATTGGAGTGCGTGAAGAGCCACATTTCAATGCAGGGGCGGTGGAATCCATGGCCGCAATCCGGGAGCATCCCAATCTTCTCGCTGCTGTGGAATTCGCTCAAGCAAATCATACACTCGCCGCTACTCCCGCCGCGGCTGCTGCCCATGTTGCCGAATTGGACCATCTGGATCGGGCGGAGCGCCCGCGAATCCGCGTCCTCTTGCTGCGCTTTGAATGTCCCTAGCACCACCATTCCATGATCCTCATTGCCCTCCTCCTCCTCCTCCCCCGCCGCCTGCCCTCCGCCACTTCCCCGCCTCGCTGACGATCTGGATCTCCTGGATCTGCGTAGCAGGAAGAGGAGGAACCTCACAGCCGTGCTCCAGTGCGCCACCACCACCACCGCCGCGAGGAGGCACGCCACCACCACCATTGTCTTGCGGAACATGAATTTCTTGTAGTAGGCATCGTCTTCCGGATCCAATTTGGCGCGATTGGAGAGGAATGTATGCGCGGCTTCCAGCGGCGCGGGAGCCCAAACCCCGCGGCCATAGGAGATCCTTGGAGGAAGAAGCGAATATCTCTCGGCCATAGCTAAAGAAACTCTTGCTTTGGGCTCAAGAACACAACCAAACAAACACGCGCTATCTTCTTTCTAAACTAATCTGACACACACACACTGTGCGCGCGAGATAAAGGCCAAAAACTCGAAAACCCACCACTCTGCTCGATCCATGTCGCTCAATCGATGATTCGCCAGCCAAGAAGAGGAAGAACAACGCACCAAAGCACAGCGCGGCGCTGGATTAGCAGCGCAATTTCCCACAATCATGGCTCGCATTGACATCTTCTTCTTCCATTTGATCGATCAGAATGTCCCATCGCTTGATCAAGGACTATATTCTAGAGGAACTAGCATACCGTTGCACACAGTGTTCGTGGTCACACTTAGGATTCTCCAGGTTTGCAAAAGCAAAGGACGATCCCGCGCCCGCCCTTGCCCAATTCTTCCACTCCAAAAAGTTTAAAGTTACTTTGACTTCCAAGAACCCTAAAAAACAGAGCAAGCGATATTTTAGGGTTTAGTACCGGAGGAGGAGGCTTTGCGCGAGCGATGTGGCGCTTAATCGATCGATGCAAGTACCTACATTTCCTTCCTTCTCCCTTTTTCGCGTTCTTTTCCAGGTACGATAAGATTCGCGGAGAAGAGAGGCGATCCATTTTCTCGGTTCCAGTGGCGAGTGAATTGAGTAGTGAGTGCCTTTGTCTTCCCAGTGTAGTTTTTACTCTGCTTTATTCCTGTGCAGCACTGCTGCAAGAGCTAAAGTTTCTCGGGATGAACAAAGGCTCTGCTCTCCTGGGCTGGAGGAGCTGTTCAAGGCTGGGCCACTCTTGCCATTCACGAGTGCTCGAAGATGGAAAAAGGAAATCACCTCTGCACACCACTGCCTCTCACCAAGGTGACTAAATTATAGCTCTTTATTCTTTCGCATGATTTTCTTTGATTGACCAGGGCCGTCCTTCCTCTCGGTGAAATTGTTTTTTTTGGCTACGGCTAAAGCCGCTCCCTGACACCATCCTCGTCGCTCACACTGCTTGCCTGATGGAGAATTCAGCTTTTCCCATGGAACCTGATCCATGCAATCGTCTCGCTTCATTCTCGATCCAGAGGTACTTTTTTTTTCCTGGTGAGTCCATTTAATATCTAGTTCGTAAGCTACAGCTGGATCCCAAACTCTCGAGCCTAAGAAGAGTGATTGAAAGCGCTAGTCTCGCAGGATACTCTAGTCTTAGTGTCATCGTCGTCCCCTCCTGGCGAGTTTTGTTTGTACACTGCGTGAGTTACCTCAAGTTTCATGTGGGGTGGGCTTAAGCACTGGTGTCCTTCTTGGTGCGCAGAACTTGCATTGTAATCAGCTCCCGTTACTTTCGTTCTGCCTGTCCTGCTCGTGCTCTTCCCTTGCATTGCATTATATGTTTGCTTGTGTGCGTGATCTGGAGGTAAACAAGCTGCAGACCGAGAGAGAAAGAGTACAGACGGAGTTCTTTCTCACTCGTTTCCTGTTTGTCTTTTTGAGACCAAGCCAACTACAAGCCTTTTTCCCCATACTGCGAAAGCGCAATAATGCTTCGACTACATGCCGTATGTCTGTACAGGTGCGTTTTGATGCCAAGTAGAAGCTTGTTTAAGATCTTGCTTTGACTGGCCTGTGAGCTTGCGTGGACTTTGGTTGTTGTGTTTTCGCTGGGGATGTGCAGTGGATATGTATTATGATGAAACTGGCTGCTGTCTTTATTGGAAAGTCGCTTACTAAAACCTTTGTTCTGCTGTAATCAGGAGCGGGTACCAATGGAGTGCCAGGAATCTGTACACAAAATACGTGGGGTATGAGGATGTAAGGCGCGGTATAAAATGAGCTTTTTCTCGTAGATGTGCTCTTTGACTGCTGCCGAGAGTTCTCCTTCTGCTCCGCCTACCTTCGTCTTCGCCAATTCTCAGGAAGCAGGCCTCTATGAGCTCCTTACTGATATTCATTGCAGCTCTGCTCCGGCTCTGGTCTCTGAGTTCAGCTTTGCCAGATAGAAAGGTAATACCTTTCATGAATGGCAATGCTGTGGGATTTAGCACTGGAACTTTCTTTTTTCCTTCAGCTGTACATAGTTTACCTTGGTGCGAAGCAATCTGTATCAGAAGACCTGAAGCCGCTCAATGTCTACCATCATGTTCTTCTTTCAAGTTTAATGGGAAGGTATGGAAGTAAATTTTCTCCTTGTGAGCTTACATGGCAATAGCCAGTGAGGAAGCAACAAATGCGATGGTTTATAGCTACTCAGAGAATTTTTCGGGTTTCGCTGCGACTTTAACTCCGAGAGAAGCGGCTACCTTGTCAAGTTCGATGATTTTTTCTTTAAAACTGTCATGAGGCTCACATACTTCGTGTGACGTTTTAGGATTATCTGGAGTTCTGTCAGTTTTTCCAAGCAGGATGAGGCATCTACATACAACGAGGTCGTGGGAGTTTCTGGGAGTAACTACACAAAACAATGGCTCCAGTTCAGGTGGCGATGTTGTCATTGGAGTTTTTGACACAGGTACTTGGAACTGACGGTTAATAATGCCTTATTTCTCACGCTTCAGTTTTTCAGGAGTATGGCCGGAGTCTGAAAGCTTTAATGATCATTCGTTTGGTCCAGTTCCTTCACGTTGGAAGGGCGATTGCGCTGCCTCAATCCGCTGCAACAGGTAAAATCATCAAACACCGCCAGCATGTCTAGACTTTTCTCTGCTGGTATATAGGAAACTTATCGGAGCTCGTTTCTATTCCAAGGGATATGAGAAAGAGTACGGTCCTTTGGCAGGCAAAAAAACTCCGAGGGACACCCATGGCCACGGAACTCATACTGCTTCGATAGCTGCTGGGAGCCCTGTTGAAGGTGCGAACTTCTTTGGCCTTGCTAAAGGAGTTGCACGAGGCGGAGCTCCAGGAGCAAGGCTGGCTATCTACAAAGTGTGCTGGGGAATGGAGTGCTCGGATGCAGATGTGCTCGCTGCATTCGATGATGCTCTCTCGGATGGTGTCGACGTGCTGTCTATCTCACTGGGACAGGAGCCAATGGACTATTTTGAAGATGCGGTAGCAATCGGTGGATTCCATGCGATGCAAAAGGGCGTTCTTACTGTTGTCTCGGCCGGGAACGAAGGGCCAAGCTTGCATGCAGCGAAGAACATCGCTCCATGGCTCTTTACTGTTGCTGCCAGCACCATAGACAGGAAGTTCACGACCCAAATATTACTTGGAAACGGCTCCTCCTACAAGGTATGTATGTTTCGTTTTATCTATTCGGTGTGTGATCGAACGAAATCTCACATGCAGGGTACGTCTATAAATGGTTTTGCAACTCGTGATAGCTGGCATTCCTTGGTCTTTGCCGGGAGCGTTGGAGACGGACCAAAGTCAAAGTAAGTTTTCAAAGTTTTCTCTCTTTTTCAACGGCGCTTACAAGCCTTTCGTAGATTCTGTGGCAAGGGTACGTTGCATTCGGCTGAAATCAAAGACAAGATCGTCGTGTGCTATGGTGACGACTATCGCCCCGATGAATCGGTTCTTTTGGCTGGCGGGGGTGGTTTGATCTACGTTCTTACGGAAGAAGTCGACACTAAGGAGGCCTTTTCATTCTCTGTGCCTGCTACCGTGGTGAACAAAGGAGATGGAAAGCAAGTGCTCGCTTATGCTAATTCAACACGGTCTGGCATTTTTTACCTTCATAATAGCGAAAGTACTGACACCTACTTGTAGGAATCCTATTGCTCGGTTTCTTCCCACGATCGTGCGAACAGGAGAAGAAATCAAAGCTACTGTAGCTCTTTTTTCATCGCGTGGTCCCAATTTGATAACTCCAGACATCCTCAAGGTAGGAATTTTTCTTCGTTTCTCCAAGTTTTCGTTGTTCCAGTGTTTTGGACCTCCTACCAGCCAGATATCGTAGCACCAGGTGTGGATATACTCGCTGCATGGTCACCGCGGGGTCCAGTCGCAGGTGTGAAGGAAGACAAACGCGTGGCCAATTTTAACATCATCTCTGGAACTTCAATGGCGTGTCCTCATGTCTCAGGTGCCGTATCCCTGGTGAAATCATTTCATCCGGAATGGTCTCCTGCAGCACTCAAGTCCGCTCTCATGACAACAGGTCCAGTAGAAGCTTCACTATCTCAGCCACTTTCGCTTTCTAACTCTCGTTTTTCCTCAAACGCACAGCGACAGTCCTCGATCAAAAGCATAAATTCAACAGGCATGGAGCTCTCGCGTATGGATCTGGGCAGATAAATCCGGTGGCAGCGACAGATCCCGGACTCATCTATGACATCAGTGCCAGAGACTATGCCAACTTCCTCTGCAACATCAACTACAATGCCACGCAAATCCATGTGATGCTGGCAATGACAAAGTTTCGCTGCTCCAAGAGCCAAGCTCCCGTCAACTCGTTAAACTATCCGTCCATCGCGCTGGGTGACCTCGAGCTCGGCCACTTGAACGTCTCGATCACGCGTAGAGTGACGAACGTGGGATCCCCAAACGCAACGTACCACGCTGCCGTCAAGCACCCCGGTGGTCGCGTCCGTGTGACAGTGACGCCGAGAAGGCTCCGCTTTTCTTCGACGGGGCAACGAAAAAGTTTCAGAGTGGAGCTGTTTGCGACACGGATTCCGAGAGACAAGTTCTTGGAGGGGTCGTGGGAGTGGAGGGACGGGAAACACATCGTGAGAAGTCCAATACTCGTGTGGCGAAAGCATTAGCTATGCCGAGGAAGAACAACTCAAGGCACCAGAGAAGAGACAAGCGAAGAACAAGTAGCTTGCAAAGCGAGTTATTTCTCCCTTGTTGCGTGTTTATTCTGACCATTTTGATACAGGTGGAACTCTTAGTTCCGCTTATCGAAAAAAAAAACGAAGAAAAAAAGGAAGGAAAACAAAACCATTTGGACTTTACAGCTATGGAGGTGCTCAGCTGGTGATGAGGAATCAGTTGACTCTGGAGCAAACTCTCCTGATCTCGCCACCCGACCCCGTCTTGACACCCACGGATCCCAGCCGGACCATCGACCGCGCAAACGCAGAGAAGAACGCTTCCTGGCTGTTGGCAAAGAGATTGACGAGGCGGAGCGTGTCGTTCCTGGTGGTGAGCGTCGAGTCGGAGACCAAGAGGCCCTCGTCCGTGAGGAGGTGCTTGTAGTACAAGTTGTCGAAGGCGAAGGGGGTGCTGATATCAAACGCCTGGACGGTGGTGGGATTGCCGCCGAATTGCGGGCATTGCTTCTGGAGGGTGCTGACGAAGCTGGGGCTGAGCGAGGGATCGCTGCCGGAGGAGCCGTAGAGGCGACTGGTGAATTGGTGGCAGTGAGAGAATCCAATCGTGTGTGCCCCTGATCGCGAGAAAGAAACGATCAATGCCAGAACAGCGGGAATTTGCAACGAAGAAAACAGGGAATGCCCTGCTCGGGCATATGTCTCGGCCGCGCGATGGCGAGAAATCGCGAATGTGGGGTGCTAGAGAATCGTATTGGGTTCCAGCAGGAGCAAAATTCTCGCGAAATTGCGATCGCCCACGAGAGGATTGGATCGAGAGCAAACAGGGGGGAGGGCTTGTTTCTATTTAAGTACCTGAGAGGACGACCATGTCCTCGAGAGAGAGTCCCAGGGCGCCGAAATTGGACTCGAGCTCCTCCACGTCGAAGTCGGCGCCGGGCAAGTGCCCGGCGACGCGGGATTCGCGTGAGATGGTCCCGTCGAGCCGTCCCTTGAGGACTGTCCAGCTTGGTCCGCCACTCTGAAGAAAGAAACAAAAGAACAAGTTTTGCGAGCGTCAGTCCGGGTGAGTGCCAGTCGAACAACGCAACGAACTCGCCAAATCCGGGAGCAACCGACAGCACAGACAGAGGATGCATGGCAGTCGATCCGTGTGTGCTTTTGTGATCCATATGTGTGTGGGGTGATCCGAGAGAAGATAGGAGAGAAAGGAGTGGAAGAACTCCTCGCAAGGATATGGATTGGATGGAGATAGATTGTGGAAAACTTACAAAGGTGACCGCGTCGCGGGTGGCCATCGCGAGGATGTCGGCACACGAGACGACTCCCGGGCACGATTCCTCCACTGTTTTCTTGAGCTCGTCCATGGCGTCGAAGGGATTCTGGGGGAAATCCAGGTTGTCCGTCGCAGCTCTCTCCGTTGACGCGCCTGTGAGAAGGATCGAGGCGTCGCATCCCTGCGCAAAAGAAGAGAGCTCGATCAAAGAAAAATTCGAATTTGTATTGATCGATCGGGAGTCACCTCCACGAAGCAATCGTGCGCGAAGAGGCGGAGCATCCCGATGGGGACGACGTTGTTTTCCGACGAGAGCCTGTTCATGGTGGTGGTGACGATGGATTCCACGTTGGGGCAGCTGGCGGAGTAGAAATCTCTCGAGAGCCGATCCTGCGCGTGGATCAGAGGCGGCGCCGCTGCGATGGTCACCATCGCCACCATCAACACGCGCGCGAGCACCGGCCGATGATCCATCTCCTTCTGTTCTTTCTCTTCTTGATCGCAATGAAAGAATTCCGGAGAATTGTGGAGGAACAATGCCTGGAGTGAATGGGCGGTTCGTTGGATCCTTTCAAAGACACATCACTCTATAAGAGACTTTAGGAATAGAAGGATCGAGCTGTGAGCCAAACGATCAAAGATAGCGACTTACAACGAAGAAAGAGAGGAAAGCAAAAGAGAAAGGGGATACCTAGGAGAGAAATTCGATCGATCTTAAGATCCTGAGAGAAAGAGAGAGGAAAGGAGATTATAACAAGTTCAACTTGATGACGCAAACAAAAACAAGTGAGGAACAAGTCTGCTACACGCACGAACTAATCAATCTTTACTATTAGGGTTATCGCAAGCAAGGTCATGTAGATCAAGATCGCATCCCTGCACGAGCTAACTATGCCACAAAGATTGGACTTGGTGTAAAAAAGAGAGCGCAGTTCGATCCGCTGGACTTTATATGCCCGACATCCAGATTGGTAGAGGGGACGATGATCATGTTCTATCACTAGTGTGGCATATTGGTTTTGGTTGCTCGTCCCTTACAGTTCATTGTGGAAAGCGGAGATGGTGGTAGCAGAGGTAATTCTTGATGGCTTTAGCATGAGATGAGAAAGCTGGCAGAGTATATGCTTCTTAAGCTAGGTTCTTCTAGGCCTGGGCTTTTGTGTGGAACACATACAGAACTGCAAGATCCACTGCAGCTTGATCAGCTGATCAGCTGGCTTTTGGTCGAAACAGCCTACCTGGGGATTAACAAGGTCGAGTCCCCACAAAAATTAGATCAACGCTTTAATGGACAAAACTAAGTGATTTATTATTATTATTATTTAATTATTAAAGCAATAGCCTAGTTTACCAACATTTGCATAGCTCATGGCCTAGCATATCATTCCTAGCATGCCATAACCTGAGTTATGGCATGAATTTAGTAGATATAGTTAGAACATAATAGACATTATTGTTAATTTATTAATTTAATATATATATATATATATATATATGTAATAATATAAAGTAGTATATATTAGCAATATGTTTGTGAAGCCCATTTTGGTTCAACTATTGGATGTTTTGAAAAAACTTTCTGGTGAGATTCATAAAGAACTAAATTACAATCATCCTGAAGTGAAATAAATCTTATAAAATAATTATGTGATCTATCAAAATTAATTTTTGGGGACCAAATTATATTTTTATTTTCAGAATATAATACTATATGCCCATCTTCTTCTATAATAAATAAACAATTTTGATAACCCTGAAATCCTTTGTACCATTTTAAATCATTATGTATATATAATGATAAAATACAATTTAAATGTAAGTATAATAAAGCTTTTTTATTTGGTGATGTTAAAAATTGGGATGGTTTAAGAGAGTTAGCTGGCATATTACTAATGAATGTGGTTATTTTTATATCACAATCAATTAAATTATTTATTTTATAGGCATCTTGAAATAGTAAATCTTGTCGAAAGTTCTTTACAAGATATTCAACACAATAATAACCAACAACAGCTCGAAAATAATTTGCACGTAATCTTTTTATATCATAACGATATAAATTTAATATAAAATTTAATCGATCTTGAACATTTTTTCCATGGTCTTGTTCATAATTACTTGGGTTTGCAGCACATGTATCATATTGTTTTCCTTTACTATCATAAACCCATAATTGATTTACAATTGTTAATAAACCATGAGTATTATCTTGTATATGATATTCAAATTGCATACCTTGACCTTTAGGTAAGGGTTCATAAGATATATTATTAATCATTAGTTGCATTGCATATAAAATTAAATCAACACTTTCAATTTCCATAACATTTTGGCCATAATATTGATAAGTGCTTAAAATTGTATTAATGTTGATGTATAAAAAAATTAGAAACATAAATAAATTCATACTCAATATTGAGAAGAAAAACTAAAAATTTATAAATCTAATTTAGTATTTTAATAAATACTTAGAAATAGTGTTTCTATCAATTTGTGACATTAGTACATATAAGAGAATAAATAATATAAATAAATTCAATATTGGATTTTATTATTCACATACTGTAGAATAAATAAAAACATATCAATATGATTAGAGATCATTTTAAATCTATAAATTTTAAACGTCTTTGTTACAAAGTATGATTTTTCTTTTAGCAACACTAATTTGTTATTTGTTAAGATACAATTTATTCATTTCTGATGAGTATAAATTCCACCCTAAAACGTTTTTATCCGTTTAACCTTCCATTGGTGTGGTTTCTAGGGCAGCAAAGGCGCGCGGGTACAAGCTTCCGGCAAGAAAGAATGCGACTGGGCATCCCGGCAGCTGAGCTGACCTAGAAGGTTTCCAGGGCTAGAGATGTTTAGCAGGCTGGGTTTCGGCGGCGGCGCTCCACCAGGGACACCCAAGAGGATTGTGGAGCTCGATCCGGCCACCGCCGCGGTAGCGCCGCCCGCGGCTCCAGCGTCCAATGCTTCCAATGGCACAGGTCCGGCAAAGGCGATCCGGCTCGTCTATTGCGATGACAAGGGGAGATTTCGGATGGATGCTGAGGCCGTGGCGGCATTGCAGCTGGTCAAGGGGCCGATTGGCGTGGTGGCGGTGTGTGGGCGAGCCCGGCAGGGGAAGAGCTTCATCTTAAACCAGGTACTTTTGCTTGTGTAACTCTGTGTAGTGTTTTCTTTTCCTTTTGCCATCGTGCTTGTTTTTAATACGTCCAGCGCATAGCTGCTAGGCCGGAGTAGCGGATTTCAAGTGGGTCCGACTCACCGACCATGCACCAAAGGACTCTGGATGTGGAGCGCTCCAATCAAGAGGTTTGCTCCGGATGGAACGGAGTATAATCTTCTCTTACTCGACAGTGAAGGAATCGATTCTTATGATCAGACGGTATGTTGGTTTCTTTGGGTTTTTCTTGTGGTCTTTTTTTTTTTAACTCGTCGTTCTGTTCTTCAATGTAGGGAACGTACAGCACGCAGATCTTCTCACTCGCGGTGCTGTTGTCCAGTATGTTCGTCTACAACCAAGTACGTGTCGTCTTCTTACGAAACCAAGAAAAAAGAACGACTACTGATAACTTATCCATGGACTTTCTAGATGGGAGGAATTGACGAGGCTGCCTTGGATCGTTTGTCCCTGGTAACGGAAATGACAAAGCACATTCGCGTCAGGGCTTCGCAAAAGACTACGACTGCAGACGAGCTTGGACAGTTCTCTCCAGTTTTTCTCTGGTTGCTCAGGGTGAGAGTTTCACGTTATTTTCTTATAGCTTCTGATATGTAATGTGTAGGACTTCTATCTCGATCTTAATGAAGACGGACGGAGGATTACACCCAGGGAATACCTCGAGTCCGCTCTGCAGCCAATGCCTGGAAGTGGCAAAGCAATTTATGCCAAGAACGAGGTTTTCTTATGATTGACTATGTCCAAAGCTAGTGCCATTTTCTTTTTCCAGATTCGAGAGTCCATCCGTGCTTTGTTTCCAGACAGGCATTGCTTCACTCTTGTGCGGCCCGTGAATGAGGAGCATGACCTCCAGAGACTTGATCTTTTACCAGTACGTTGTCGCTATTTCGGTCGTTCGTTCCTCATACAGTGCCTACAGATGGAGAAGATGCGATCTGAATTTCGTCTTGGATTGGATCATCTCACAAAATTCGTTATCGAGAGAACTAGGCCGAAACAGCTTGGGTCCACTGTGATGACAGGTCCCATGCTTGCAGGTCTAACACAGTCTTTTCTGGACGCTATAAACGCAGGTGCTGTCCCCACAATTGCTACATCATGGCAGGTAACGCTTGCCCCATTTTGTTCTCTTTGATTATTTTCTCTCTACTGTACAGAATGTTGAGGAGAATGAGTGCCGCCGTGCGTACGATGTGGCGTTGGAGACTTACATGAGGTCCTTTGATAAATCGACACCTCCAGACCTGGTAACCATTACTAGAACTCAAGTCAGATCGTTTACGATTTTGTCTTACAGAATGCTTTGCAAGAAGCACACGATAAAGCATTCCAAGCTTCTCTCTCTGTGTATAATGCTGAGGCTGTCGGAGCGGGTCCTATCAGGTCAAAGTATGAAAGACAGCTGCAAACGGCTCTAAGAAAGCATTTCGAGGTATTTACATTTGTTTTCCATTTATGCATCGTATCAGCTTTCTTTTTAGGACTACAAGCAAAGGTCTTCAATGGAAGCAGAGCTGAAATGCGTGAAAGTGATTGAAGGCATGGATGATAAATTAAGAATGGCATGCCACTCGCCAAATGCTTCCCTGGATCAGATATTGCAGGTAACTTTTTCTTTTTCTTTTTTTTTCTTTTCTTTTTTTTTTGTAATATAACTATAAGCGCTTTACAGTTATTAAACGAGCTAATTGTACAATACGAGAAATCGGTTTTTGGACCTGCCAAATGGCAAAAACTTGTAAAATTTATTCAACAGAGGTGAGTAACATGTTTCTTAGAACTTGGCCTTACAAAACTTCTGGTCTGTTGCAGCTTGGAAGGATCAATCAGCGATCTATTTAAGAAAATTAGTCATCAAGCAGCATCACAAGCTTCAAGTCTCGATTTGAAATGCCGTTCGCTGGAAGATAAGCTTGCACTGACCGGACGACAGATAGAAGCTGCGCAAAGAGAATCCATGGACTGGAAGAGAAGGTATGAAGCAGCCATAGCGGACTACAAATCTTCTAGTGAGCTCTCGGCGGGCCAGTACGCAAGTCTCCAGAGTAAACTTGGCAAGTCAGAAGAGAAGCGGGTTAGCCTTGCACAGCAGCTGGAAGTAGCGCTGAAGGAAGCCCTGGAGTGGCAAAAAAAGTTTGAGCATGCGTCTGGGGACCGACGCCTAGTGGAGGAGAGGCAAAGATCCGAGCTTTCGGCACTTCAAAGCAGGTGTAGTGCTGCGGAAGCACGACTGGCGGCTGCGCGTGAGCAGGCCGACTCGGCAAAGGAGGAGGCCGCCGAATGGCGGAGGAAACATGACTCTGTGATCAATGAGTCCCGCTCATCCGCTGAACGGTTCAATGCGCTTCGGGAACGTGGAAACAAACAACAACAAGTGAGAGAAGATGCGCTGCGAACCGAGTTTGCCTCTAAGTTGTCGCAAAAGGTTTGTTTCTATGTGAGTATTTTGCCATCTTTCTGAATTTCATCTGCCAGGACACTGTACTAAATGAGACGAACGCGAAGCTGGAGCAGAGCGAACGCCTTGTGACTGATTTGAAGGCCCGCATGCAGGTTGGGCTCTTCGTGTTTCTTTTACTTTTCTTAAACTCGGCAACTGTTCTTTCAGGCTCACGAGGCCAAGGCGCTTGCGGAAGAAGAGGAGCTCGTTGCTCTACGCGAAGAGTCGAAACACTACCAAATGATGGCGATGGAGAGACTGGCCGGCATAGAGAAGGCGGAGCGGCATGCCGAGGCCCTGGCCAGGGAGAAGGAGGGCTTGTTGCAAGAGCTAGAAACCGCAAAGGTGGCGGAGCAGGATGCGTCGACCAAGTGCCAGTCCCTGGAGAGGCGCCTGGAAGAGCGGGAACATGAGATGGAGGTCCTGCTCCAGGAGGCTCACGAGCAGAGGATCAGCACAGCGCACGTCCTCGAGGGGCTACTGACGTCGGAGCGAGCAGCACACGCGGAAGCCAGCGGCAGGGCCGAGGCACTGTCAATCCAGCTCCAGGGCGTCCAGGCGAAGCTCGACTCGTTCCAGCACGAGCTGGCCACGTCCCGGCTGAACGAGACGGCGCTGGAGACGAAGCTGCGAACACAGGCGGAGTCGTCGGGGAGGAGGAAGCGCGGGTCGGATGACAAGGAGCCGGAGATGACGCCGCCGCCGAGCGAGAGCCTGGGGCGGAACAAGAGGCCTCGCCTGGACCTTAACTTTGACAATGGTAGTAGCCTGGGGTTCACTCCGGGGGAGAGTATGGACGATCATGCCAGCACCGAGCAACAGCAGCAGCAGCAGCAAAACCAAAATCAACAAAGCCAGCAGCGTGACTATCGCAAGCTCACGGTTGCGCAGATGAAACACGAGATGACCGAGGCCGGGTATGGCGCAAAGGTGATGCAGCTGCGCTCCAACACGCCCAAGAAGGAAGTCGTGGCTTTGTATGAGGAGTGTATGTTTCCCAAAGCATGAAGACCTTTTTCTCGAGATCTCTCTTCATCTCAATGAATCCTCCAGCTCCCAAAAGAGTGACCTCCACATTCTCAAGCCAGCATTCTCAATCAGCCCAGCAATCATACTCTCTGCTTCTTAGTATTTTTTTTTTACTCTCTGCTTTCTTTTTTTTTTTTTTCTTTTGTTTCAGTCCCCATAAAGCTTAAGATTAAAATACCTATTTAACATTTCTCTTTTTTTTGTCATTATTTGTTTTGGCCCATGTATATTTGCCACGGGTGGATGCATTAATAGTTTGGTCATTTTGGGGGGAAGAAGCATGCTTCCTTTTTGTGGAAGAAAAACCAAGAGCTTTTCCTTTGTTATCCAGTGGGAAAAGGACACATTTGTCCTAAACATCACATAACACAATAATTAGTATGGAGCATTGCATCAAATTTACCCCTTAGCAGATTGATCACACAACTATAGTGAGCATTGCTGGCACGCACCTAAAGAATTGTATTGGTAAAGTAAATTTAAATTAATAATGGATAAAATTTTAAATATCAAGGATATATTTATACCCTTGACAAGCATTATATATGCATAATATCCTAAAATGGTTTAGAGGATTTCATAATTATCATAATTGTGAGTTCATAGTACAGGAAGATAGGACAAATAATTTTGTATTCTGGAAAAACAGTTACAATTTTGTCCCCAAAAATTAATTATAAAAATTCAAAAAACTATTTTATAAGATTATTTCACTTCAAGATGATTGTAATTTAGTTCTTTATGAATCTCATCAAAAACTATTTTCTAGACACAATAATTATACCAAAATGGGATTCACATACATATCCTTGCTAATATTTTAATGCTACAAAATTTCCAAATAAAACCAATTAAAATAGAAATAAAGCTTTTAGCTAATACCGGGTCCTCTAAATAAATCTAGTTTAGAGCTAGTGGTTCAATCCTTTAGGTATATATCGATATTTGGATTTAATCAATGTCTATTGCCTCTTAGATTAATATTGGACCTCTAATTTGGCAGCCACAGAATATGGTAATGTGGCTTGGCATGGCGTGGCACATTGTCTCTTTAATTCCACAGTTGAAAAAATAAATTATAGAGGGGTGCTATATGGCTTTTACTTAATTTTGGCTTGGAGGAGGGTCTGTTTGGGATCATCGAATTCCTGTGCAACATCAAGACAATTCCACTTCCTATGATGGTGAAGACCTTAAATTAATGTTACCTGCAATATGACAGTAATGGGTATTATGAGCTGCTGAACGATTTAATTGCCAAGACACTGTGCTAAATAAGACAAGTGCAAACTACATAATTGTTCTTCAAAAGCCAAGGTATAATGCATGAATAATTCAGTAGTAAAAACTCTTTAAATAATTTCTTAAATACCTCTATTCCTTCGGTGGGTGGGACAAATCGGTGGGACAGAGGGATAAACCTCAGCGGATCGTAACAACAAGGCTACTCTGCCACTTACAGTATGCAATATACCAAATTGCAAACCATATGACTAACTATATAGCCAATTTTAGTGTTGGAGCACTTACATCCCCAAACCAAGGGAAGTGAGTCATCCTGTTGCTAAGGGCTGCAGTGATGAGGAGTAGTGTGAGGCCTGAAGCCACTAAGAGCCCAGCGTTTGGAATCTTTTATTGTCTAATCCTTGATAACCTTGACTAGCAATTGCTGGTCACCAATAAATTGACATATTATTTTTGAGAAATTCATGCCATTGAGTTGCCTCTCAACTCAAGGCAAGGTTGTAGTTGAGCGGTGTGCCATGGAAAACCATGATCTCTACCCATGTACAGATCACAAGGCCTAGGATACCTTCAGCAGTTCCAGGGGAATGAGGTGATTCGTAACATGTGTATCATTCCACCATGGGTGATTGATGCACGCCTACTTCAATGATGGTAGCACACCCAATTTGCTCCATCATCCAGGATCAATGTGAACAATGTGATCCTCAACATGTACATGCAATGCAGTAGCATGGACAACACCAAGGCCAAATTGCATGCCATCCAAGATAAAGATCTCTTAGACATTGATGGTGGTGGTATATGTTTAAAACAGACATCCCAGCAAATGTGTACAATTGAAGGGCTTTTTTATCCAGTTTTCAGTCTTATAAGTTAATCTTTGGGACAATCATGAGAATTTATTAAATATAAAATATTGCTAGATTGTAAATTTAAATGCAGGAACTTTTCATAAATAGCTAATGGAACCGAACTAAATTAACACATCATAATAACAAAAGTCTTGGTGGACTAAGGTTGGTCAAACTCTCCAAAATGTTGCATATCCCATTCACAAATGTATTATTAGTTTTCCTTTTAAGTAAAATGTTAAAACACAGTATCCCCACCTTTACTGCGTTTGGGATCCCTTGAAATATTTAATGATGTGGAAACAAGAAGCTGAGCTCTCAAAAGGTTTATTCTGGATCTGACACTGCTGAATGAGACGCATTTGAAGGGTGGGCTCCTCGCATCTCTTAAACTCGGTAACTGCAAAGGAAAAAGAAATTGGGTTACTATGTCTCAAGACGAAACAGTTTTTTCACAACGTATGGGGCAGCATCAGATGGCTCCAGCTTCTTGAGCTCCTCCCCAGCTCGCCCGGCTCTCACTTCATCTCCATGAATCCTGCAACTCCCAAGGAGTGACCTCCACAAACCAGCATCTGGCCTCTCAACCAGCCCAGCGATCATGCTCTCGGCCTCTTCCAGTCTCCCAGCCTTGCCCAGCAGATCGATCACGCAGCTGTAGTGAGCGTTCCTGGGCAACACGCCGTGATCGCGCCTCATGCCCGCAAGGAAGCGAATCCCCTCCTCCAGCAATCCCCCGTGGTTGCACGCCGAGAGAATTGTGATGAAGGTGATGGCGTTCTTGCTCATACCCACCTGGTCCATCTCCCGGGAGATCTCCAACGCCAAGCTGGGATGCCCGTTCTGGGCATACGCCGCCACCATCGACGTCCACGAGATGTTCGTCCTGGATGCCATGCGATCAAACACGGCCCTGGCGTCGTCCACGCTGCCGCATCGCGCGTACATGTCGAGGATCGCGTTGCTCACCTTGATCCTGGATGGTGGAGCGAATTCCAGACCCTTCCGTCTGTCAATGTTCGAATCATTTCAGTGTTCATCAAATCAACTCTTTCTCGTTAATCTTTCTAGCTTGTCTAAAGTTCTTCCTTCCACCAGGATTACGCTCTACCTCAATGGCATGTTCGGAACAATCCAGATGATGAGCGTGACGGACTAATTTGTGGAGCACAAGCAGCAGAGCTCTAAAAGTCGATCAGGATAAGTATAATAAATACGCTACTGAATCGCGCTCTTTGGAATGCAAATGGTAAGAGAGAAAAAAACTCTACCCTGCTTCGAGTCATACTCATGTTCTGCTCTTAGGAGGAAGATCACCACCCATCCAAACTCTGAAGACGAATTGCCGCTAGTGACATCCGCCACCACTCGGAGATCACTGCCGAGATGCATGCTGATCTCCCATCGAAGTGGTTCTGGTTCCGTGCGTCCTCGAGAGTTTCTTCCCCAAGCCTCTAAGCCTCATGAATATTCGCGATTATTTTGAATTCAAACAAGAAAATGGCGGGAGTTTGAGGCCGAGTACTTGCCACTCCATCTTGAAATGAAGGGTTTGAAGGGATGACAAAAGATTTTAGTTACTTTACCTTTCCTCGTCTTCCAGAGGCAATTGAATTTGCTCCCTGGCAGTGTAGGTGTTCAAGATCATCTCTACCATGTCATCCGTGACTTCTGCAAGAGTCGATGGATTCCACTGCAAAAGTTTCACCAATTAACCTTAACGTTTGAGAGCCAAGTTACAACCAACCTTTGGAGCGCGATCTTTATCCACAACCACAGCTCTAATCCCCTAGTCATAATCGGAAAGAAGCAGAAAGAACTTTTATGGAACCAGGAAACCGAAGACCTTACTTCGTAGAGATCATCCGAGACTAGGCTCCTTAAGCAATTTAGAGTAATCCGCTGCTCTCTTTCCAAGCATTTCTTCAAGCTCTGAGTCCTGCCTTGGCGGATCTGTGTTGACAATTCCAAACACAATCAGCAAAAAAGTTGCGCACGCGCGAGAGAGATAGAGTTTTCTTCTAACCGATGCTAAGGCTTGCTTGAGTGCAATTGGCAAGAGGCGCCTCAGTGACCGCGCAGTTTCTTTACACCATTCGTCATTGGTACTGGCCTAGTGAAACGGTTGACAAGCGGGATTTATCAAGAACGAAATCAACGCAAACGCCTCAGGTACTCACCAGAGACTCGATTATCTCTTCAACTCGGTCTTTCGAGAAGCAGTTGTTTATCCAAGTCATCCTGGAAAAGCATGGAAGCTTGTTAGTTCATACGTAAAATTCCATCGTGGAAAGTTTTGCCTTTTCATGACACTGCTCGCTTCAGCTTCAGGCATCTTAGCAAATCCCTGGATAGCCTCCTGTATTGAGCTTTCCGGTTGTAAATTCAGCAAAGTCTTCTCAAGCTCCGGAACATCCTGCAATAGTTTTTGATTGAAATGTAAGAAGAGATTAGAAAACGGAAAACCACCTTTGAAGGGACAAAATGCGTAGCGATGCCACAAGCTAGCATATCAGCGCTGTCCAGTTTCGAGCCTGTGAGTGCAAGGTATTCTCCTGCAAAACTTAAGTCTGAGATCATGGAGTTTCACCACAGAGTAAGAAATCTCAAAAGAGTGATTTTTACCCAGATGTCCAGGAAATACGAGGCACTACAATCGTGCAAATCGTGGAAATTGGGAGACATTGGTGACCGCGTCGCGGGTGCCCATCTCGAGGATGTCGGCACACGAGACGACTCTCGGGCACGATTCCTCCATTGTTTTCTTGAGCTCGTCCATGGCGTCGAAGGATTCTGGGGGAAATCCAGGTTGTCCATCGCAGCTCTCTCCGTTGACGGGCCTGTGAGAAGGATCGAGGCGTCGCATCCCTGCGCAAAAGAGAAGAGCTCGATCAAAGAAAAGTTCGAATTTGTATTGATCGATCGGGAGTCACCTCCACGAAGCAATCGGAGCATCCCGATGGGGACGACGTTGTTTTCCGACGAGAGCCTGTTCATGGTGGTGGTGACGATGGATTCCACGTTGGGGCAGCTGGCGGAGTAGAAATCGCTCGAGAGCCGATCCTGCGGATCAGAGGCGGCGCCGCTGCGATGGTCACCATCGCCACCATCAACACGCGCGCGAGCACCGGTCGATGATCCATCTCTTTCTGTTCCTTCTCTTCCCGATCGCAATGAATTGTGGAGGAACAATGCCTAGGGGACGGCGCTCGCGTCATGTGTTCTCGGGGGCAATTTTCAAAGACACATCACTCTATAGCAGATTTTAGGAATGTGAGCAAAACGATCAAAGATATACAACAAAAGAGAAAAGGGATACCTAGGAGAGAAATTTGATCGATCTTAAGATCCTGTGAGGGGAGAGAAAGAGAGAGGAAACGAGATTATAACAAGTTCAACTTGATGACGCAAACAAAAACAAGTGAAGAACAAGTCTGCTACACGCACGAACTAATCAATCTTTACTATTAGGGTTATCGCTGTAGATCAAGTACGAGCTAACTATGCCACAAAGATTGGACTTGGGCACTGGCAGTGTAAAAAAGAGAGCGCAGTTCGATCCGCTGGACTTTATATGCCCGACAACCCCGCTTACCTGGGATACATCGTTTGCAGACAGACATCCAGATGGGACGATGATCATGTTCTCTCACTAGTGTGGCATAATGGTTTTGGTTGCTCGTCCCTTACAGTTCAGTGTGGAAAGTGGAGATGGTGGTAGCAGAGTTGATGGACTAATTCTTGATTGCTTCAGCATGAGATGAGAAAGCTGGCAGAGTAGCTTCTTAAGCCAGGTTCTTCTACAGAACTGCAAGATCCACTGCAGCTAGACGATCATAGCCAGGTTGATCAGCTGATCAGCTGGCTTTTGGTCGAAACAGCCTACCTGGGGATTAACAAGGTTCCACGATCCGAGTCCCCACAAAAATTAGATCAACACTTTAATGGACAAAACTAAGTGATTTATTATTATTATTATTCAATTATTAAAGTAATAGCCTAGTTTACCAACACATTTGCATAGCCCATGGCCTAGCATATCATTCCTTCATGCCAAGAGGTGGTAGCTAGCATGCCACAACCTGAGTTATGGCATGAATTCAGTATATATAGTTAGAACATAATAGACATTATTGTAAATTTATTAATTTAATATATATGTGTAATAATATAAAGTAGTGTATATTAGCAATATGTTTGTGAAGCCCATTTTGGTTCAACTATTGGATTTTTTGAAAAAAATTTCTGGTGAGATTCATAAAGAACTAAATTACAATCATCCTGAAGTGAAATAAATCTTATAAAATAATTATGTGATCTATCAAAATTAATTTTTGGGGACCAAATTATATTTTTATTTTCAGAATATAATACTATATGCCCATCTTCTTCTATAATAAATAAACAATTTTGATAACCCTGAAATCCTTTGTACCATTTTAAATCATTATGTATATATAATGATAAAATACAATTTAAATGTAAGTATAATAAAGCTTTTTTATTTGGTGATGTTAAAAATTGGGATGGTTTAAGAGAGTTAGCTGGCATATTACTAATTAATGTGGTTATTTTTATATCACAATCAATTAAATTATTTATTTTATAGACATCTTGAAAGAGTAAATCTTGTCGAAAGTTCTTTACAAGATATTCAACACAATAATAACCAACAACAGCTCGAAAATAATTTGCACGTAATCTTTTTATATCATAACGATATAAATTTAATATAAAATTTAATCGATTTTGAACATTTTTTCCATGGTCTTGTTCATAATTACTTGGGTTTGCAGCACATGTATCATATTGTTTTCCTTTACTATCATAAACCCATAATTGATTTGCAATAGATAGTGAACCATGAGTATTATCTTGTATATGATATTCAAATCGCATACCTTGACCTTTAGGTAAGGGTTCATAAGATATATTATTAATCATTAACTGCATTGCATATAAAACTAAATCAACACTTTCAATTTCCATAGCATTTTGGCCATAATACTGATAAGTGCTTAAAATTTTGTTAGTTTTAATGCATAAAAAAATTAGAAACATAAATAAATTCATACTCAATATTGAGAAGAAAAACTACAAATGTATAAAGCTAGTTTTATATTTTAATAAATAATTAGAAATAGTGTTTCTATTAATCTGTGACATTTGTACATATAATAGAATAAACATCATAAATAAATTCAATATTATATTTTATTATTAATATATTATAAAAGAAATAAAAACATATAAATATAATTAGAGATCATTTCAAATCTATAAATTCTAAACATCTTTAGTGTATAAAGTATGATTTTTCTTTTAGCAACACTAATTTTTTATTTATTAAGATATGTGAATGCTCAAGATATAGAAATAGGTATATTTTATGGTTTTAACCCTACTTGTATACAAGAATGAATGGACCAAATTCAATCTCAAATAGATAGTCCATATGCTATAGTACTATAATTAATGTATTATTTAGCCAAGGTAATATATATATATACACATATATATACATATATACATATATACATACATATACATATATACATATATATACATACACATACATATACATACATATATATACAAACTTTACACCATCTTTCTTTCCGAAAGATGAAAAAGATGATGGCAATAAGTCAAATGGAACATCTAGAGCTTTTGCTTGGCAATTATAAACTACTATAAGAATCCAAAGTTCCCACAAAACCATCAATAAAATTGATAAAAACCATGACTGAAACAAAACCCAATACTATGGCATAATTGACTGTAAAATTCTGATAAACCGATTGTAACTATATGTGTAGTTGCTAAATGCTTAAACCAACCTCGAAATCATAATTTTGAACCAAAATAAGGAACTTTGAGAATTAATGTAGTCCATGAAATCATACATCCTATGTTTAAATTTGTCTGCCGATAATTCTTTGAAATCGTTGTTAACTTAGACTCATGACCATAAGTAGAGCTTGCCTCTTTGTCTTTATCTAACATTGCATATAAGAAATTGAACTCACTCCATTTTTTTTTCACTCCTTTTTATCCCCTTCTCAAAAGATAAAAAGTTTTGAAGCACTAACTTTATTCAAATTCCTTATGCTTATCCTTACTTTGCCATCTATATTTAGCTTTACTTCACTATTGCATCCATTTAACTTCATTATGTCGAAGTTAAATGTTCCATTTAGACTTGTTATGCTCATCATCACTTTATAATCCATGTCATTTATCCTCATTCCAATACTATATTTGCTCATCTTTACTCCATCATCATAGCTAAACTCCCATTTGTCCCCTTAACCCCCTCCTCTAAAGAAAAAAAAAAGTTTGAAATGTCAAAGCAAGAAAAAGAAAATGAGAAAAATTAAGAAAAATCAATTGTGAAAAAAGAAAAAATAAATAAAGAAACATTAGGAAAGGAATGTGGAGTAGTTGACAATCAATGTGAACAATGTGATCCTCAACATGTACATGCAATGCAGTAGCATAGACAACACCAAGGCCAAATTGCATGCCATCCAAGACAAAGATGTCTTAGACATTGATGGTGGTGATATATGTCTAAAATAGACATCCCAGCAAATGTGTACAATTGAAGGGCTTTTTTATCCAGTTTTTAGTCTTATAAATTAATCTTTGGGACAATCATGAAAATTTATTAAATATGAAATATTGCTAGATTATGAATTTAAATGCTGGAAGTTTTCATAAATAGCTAATGGAACCGAACTAAATTAACACATCATAATAACAAAAGTCTTGGTTGGTCAAACTTTCCACTTTGAAGTAAAAACGTTAAAACACAGTATCCCTAAGTATCCCTATGTTCCTCCTTTACTGCGTTTGGGATCCCCTGAAATATTCAATGATGTGGAAACAAGAAGCTGAGCTCTCAAAAGGTTTATTCTGGATGTGACACTGCTGAATGAGACGCATTTGAAGGGCGGGCTCCTCGCATCTCTTAAACTCGGTAACTGGAAATGAAAAAGAAATTGGGTTACTATGTCTCAAGAAGAAACAGTTTTTTCACAACGTATGGGGCAGCATCGGATGGCTCCAGCTTCTTGAGCTCCTCCCCAGCTCGTCCGGCTCTCTCTTCGTCTCCATGAATCCTGCAACTCCCAAGGAGTGACCTCCACAAACCAGCATCTGGCCTCTCAACCAGCCCAGTGATCATGCTCTCGGCCTCTTCCAGTCTCCCAGCCTTGCCCAGCAGATCGATCACGCAGCTGTAGTGAGCGTTGCTGGGCAACACGCCGTGATCGCGCCTCATGCCCGCAAGGAAGCGAATCCCCTCCTCCAGCAATCCCCCGTGGTTGCACGCCGAGAGAATTGTGATGAAGGTGATGGCGTTCTTGCTCATACCCACCTGGTCCATCTCCCGGGAGATCTCCAACGCCAAGCTGGGATGCCCGTTCTGGGCATACGCCGCCACCATCGACGTCCACGAGATGTTCGTCCTGGATGCCATGCGATCAAACACGGCCCTGGCGTCGTCCACGCTGCCGCATCGCGCGTACATGTCGAGGATCGCGTTGCTCACCTTGATCCTGGATGGTGGAGCGAATTCCAAGGCCATGGGCGCGCTGCCATCGTCGAAGCAGGCGTGGATCAATCGCCCGTGGTGGAACGATGCGCGCGTCGCGAATCCCTCGAGGATCCCAAGGAATGTCACCGCGTTGGGACGAACGCCCTCCATGGCCATCCTCTGGAACAACCGGAAGGCCTCCCTGGGCCGTGCGATCTGCGCGTAGGCGGCGATCATGGCCGTCCATGGCACCACGCTCTTGGCCTCCATGGCCTCGAAGGTAGCGCGCGCTCTATCCAGGGCCTTGCACCGGACGAACATAGTCAGCAGCGCGCTGCCCAGGAACTCGTTGGATTCCATCCCCGCCACCGCGAGGACGCGCGCGTGGAATGCCTGGGATTGCTGCAGATCGCCCAATCCCGCGCAGCAATCCACCGCGCTCACGAGTGTCACCGCGTCGGATTTTACCCCTCTGGAAACCACTCCCAGAAGAGCTCGATCCCTGCCAGGAATGGCCCGCAGCGAACGAATGCCTTGATCATCGTGGCCCAGCACACGAGATTTGTGGCCCCTGCCGCCATGGAATCAAACACACTCTTGGCCAGAGAGATCTCGCCACAGGTGCCATAGAGATTGATGAGGGAAGAGCGCAAGAAATCGTCGATCACGCCCAGGGTCGCCACGCGATGGTGGATCTGCTTGCCGAGGGAGAGCGCGCAAATGCTGGCGCAGGCAGTGACCGCGATGCTGAGCACGACCTTGTCCGGCGGCGTCCCATTTAGATCCATTCTCCTCAAGAGCCCTAGCGCCTCGTGTGGATGCCCATTTTGGGCATATGCTGTGACAATCATGGTCCACGAGTAAAGATTTGGCGCCGGGATCTTGGCAAAGACGCACCTGGCTTCCTCGACTCTACCACACCGACCATACATTTTGACGAGGAGATTCATGAACTTGGGCTCGCGATTGCTCCTCTCCAAGAACGCGTGAGCTCGCCTTCCCTCTTCCAAGTCTCGTTTGGCACCGCAGGACTGCAGGAAAGAAACGAGGCCCGGGTGATCCAGGCGCATCAAATCGCTGTCATCGTGTGGCGCCGTGCGAGCTCTCGCTGCTAGCCTTCGCCGGATCATTCACACGGCTTTCTTTTCTTTCAGTCAGCAGACTGGATCTCTCCTACATTTCTAGCTATGAATGAGAATTTCATGCGTAACAGGGGCGCTCCCATATTTAATTATCTTAATTTATCTATTAACTCGCATTTAAATTGTACCAAGTTTTTTCTACTATAAACAAAATTATAATTTCCCCCTTTTAAGTAGTTTAATTCATGATATTTCATTTTATTTTTATTAATAATCTTATTTTCGAAATCTTGTGATAGTACACAAAAGGTATAATTTATACTTTGGAAAATTATAGAGGTTTAAAAAATAAAAGGAATTTTTATCTTTGATTTATTTGATGTTTCCTGTTTTGAAAATATACTTATTAGGATCAAGGTGAGTCTGGTTTAATAATTAAGCACAAAAAATATAAATTGAAGTAGTTCTTTTGTCTTTCACATTTGACCTATACAAAAATAACTTAGATAGGATAAGCTGATAATAATTTTTAATTTATTGTAACTTGATTATATAGTTTCTTTTATGTATAAAAATAATTATATAAATATATTTAATATAAATAACAAATAAAATAAAATATATCTTTTATGTGCTATAAATACCAGGAACATAAGATATTTATACTAATATTATCATATATATATAATACAAATAAATATTAATATAAATTTACTGAATTTTCTTAAAATAAATTTTATGAAATTAATTCTATATTTTTGAAAAACTTTTCTATATTCTTTTTATATGAATGATTTCTTACCATAATTGTATTTAAGATCAATATAAAGATTATAAAGAAAAATCTAAAATTTATAATGATGGATTATTTTAAATGCACATAAATTTTATAGAAGAATTATTTATTTATATATATATTTATATTCATAACATATACTTGCATTTATTAGGCAAATTCTTTATTAATGTATCTTCTACTTTAGTAGTTTTTAGTTCTTCTAACTCATCTCAAGCATGCATCACCCTTATCATTAAAGATCCATTCCTAAGAATGAGCACTCCTCCAACATCATGGTAAGATAAACATATTTCCCATATATCTTCTATTGCTTTCATAAAGTCATCATGTGTGCCCTCATGGAAATGGTTAATTGTTAAAAAGATACCTAAAGTACCAACAATAGCAGTATAAGTTCCAGGTTGGAAACCATTCTGAGCAAATTGAATCCAAACTACTGATGCACAATTACAATAATCTCCAGCATCAGTTGCTACACTAAAGGTATCAATGCAGTCTTGGATTGTTGATGCTGAATAGGCTTTAACTTCTTGGATGAAAATTGATATCAACATGATAGAATAATATAAAATTGCCTTTAGTTTCATGATTTTTAATTTTGATTTTTTTTGAGTTTATATATAAAGGGCAAATGCTATAAAACCTCCTTCCTATGTAACCTTGAGAACTTCTCTTGGCCTTATTAGTTGTATATTTCATAATTGATGTTGAATTTTAAACTTAATAATTTGTTAAAGAACATTTTGAGTGGACTATTGAACAATGAGGTCTGTTAGATTTAATATTCTATGGTCAATTGTCCAAATATGATTTAAATAAAATACTATTATTAATTTAGTATAATTTATGTTTCTAGTTGGGAAAAGCTTATAGAAACTTAAATGTGACATGCTCTAAGTTGCTGGGCTTGTTTAATAGCATTTAATAATGATCTCATAAAATTTAGAATGGAAAGTGTTTTCTAGAGGGCTTGTTAATGGCAATATAGTGGCCTTGGAGCCTGTGTGTGAGCATCTTACAGCCAGCTAATGGCAACACAATGACCTTGGGATAATGATCTTAAATTTAAAAGTGTTTTTGAGGAGTTACATACTATTCTCTTAAGAAGATTGGGAGGGTTTGAGGGAAAATTCTAAAGCAAAAGAGAGTGGCTCACAACCTAATGACAACAACCTGACCAAATCTAATTAATAAAGGAGTGTTTTTGGTCTCTTTCCTATCTGTGTGAGGGTTGGACAATCAGGCACAATTCTGCCTTGCCTGGCACTTTGGAGCCCCCATTTTGCCAGTTCTAGGTTGGCTTATGGCCAGCCAATGGAAACATGGTGGCCCCAAGTCGTCCCCTCCCCTCTAAACACACGTCATTATCACCTTTTGTGTGGGATTTCTTTTGTGTAGCACAAGAAGGAATGGGGCTCTCAACTTAATCAATTGACCTTTCCAACCAACAAGCAAGTTGGGTAGCTTTGGATTTGCCTGGGCTCTCTTATTGTAGCCACTTCTACATTTCTTGGAGGAAGGTGGGATATTTAGTAGATATCTGGGTGCATGGGAGTCCTGTCTTTCGTCTGTGTTTTATACTTTCTTAAGCTTAACTTAACTTTGACCACGTGGTCAACGTGAGTAAAAGGTAACATAAACTTAGGGTAAGGAACTGAGAAAAAGAGTGGTCAAGCTTATGTTCTTCCTTACATCTAGAACTTGGAAATCTGGAGTTTCTTGTAAGCGTTTTGGAGACTCTGTTTAGCCTGATCTCCACCAAGGGACGATCTCAAGTGTTTCTCTGATGGAGAAAGGGTCATTTGTTATTGACGGAATATTGGAGCAGTAAAAGTGCTTCATGGAGGTGAAGGAGCATGTTGTAAGTAATGGCATTAGGTAAGATGCCTTCATCTTTATCTTGTCAATCATCTCCCAGAGCCATTATACATGCACCATCTCCCTCCAGCATCTTCCTTGCACATTGTGGACGATCTGTTACTCCCAAACATGTGCTCCAGGCAGGTGTAGTAGCCACCAAGCATGACTCACTGCATGGCTTAGAGAAGAGAGCTTAGTTAAGCTTCCCTATTGATATGATGCTGTGCAAAAGATAAAGTTAACAAACTATACCCCAGTGTTAAGACATGTGGAGTTTGCAATAACCTTTTAGCAAGACTGGCAGGTTTGGCACTCAGATGCCATATGGCAGCTTCAGTAGCTTTGGCATCACACATTCAAAAGAAGTGTCACAATGCAAGAAATTTAGAGGAAATACTTGCATAAATCACAATTTCCACACTAGTCGGAAGTATTCTAGGGCATACATAAAGTATGTAAACTAGACTTACCAGTAAAAACCCAGGCGTTTTCTTATGATATGTTCTACCTTCAAGATATTTTTAAAGAACAGAGCTTGCCAATAACATCCATAAAACCCTCATTCACTTTTGGTTGTAAAAATGACTTGAGGCCTGTGTCGTTGTTTTGTGAGAAAATCTCGACTGGAACAACCTCCTCGCAACAAGCTCGTCCATTCTTTCCTTTCATATACTTCTTCTTGTACCTTTGAACCAAGACCGTATTGCCCTTGATTCTTTCTAGCAGGCACCTGTGATAAGAAAAGTCCTCTACACTTCCATCCAGTCGAACAATATGAAAGCATCGACCGCCAAAGCTGTGATGATTATCAACCTGGCAAGAAAACCAATAAATAAAAAGGAAACTTCGAGAACTTACTCTTATATGCCTGACACCACACCCCACTTTACTGTCCATCATTGGGTGATACTTCAAAGTATCTAAGATTACAGCTTCATTTGCTGCTGAAACCGGAGTTCCTGTCAAACTAAAAGCACATGCATTCTAGTCATCGTCTCGTTAGTCCAAAGCACAACCACACACCTTTTTCTTAATATGTCATGCAGCTTTTGAGAGCGTTGATCTATCCTTGCCCAGACAATTTCTCTGTCCTTTGCGCTGAGCGTGGCCGACACAGTGTCGTCAACAACTCTTCTCGAAAAAACTAGTGATTCGAAGTCCGGAAACCGTGAAACAGGTCCCTTATCCTGTAAATGCATGTTAATAATGAGATTTTGTCAATGCCAGTCACCTCTTTGAAGAAAAGCTCAATGTTGGCTCCTGTTCCAAGACTGGGACTCTTGCCACAGAATGCCAATTCATTTGCACCAGCCAAATAATCCACCTCTCGATTCATCGCAGCAGCTTCAAACACACCTCCTGGGGACTAGATCAAGAAAGGTTTTTGTAACAAGACATAAGAAAACTCTTTTCAGGAGAAATACTTACTTTTCCCATTGCAAAGGCCAAGGGTGAACAGCCGGACAAATTCTTTACAAATGCCTCATATCCGCTTTCATTAGCATCGATATTCTTCCACGGTTTTCTTAGCACACCAGCTATAAAACCATTCACAGAACCTGAATGGCAAGCGACATCTGCTATGAGCATCAGATGCTCTATGTTTATAATCCGCTCACAACCTTTCGTAAATTCTTTTAGTTTCTGCACAAAGCCAAAATAATCAATGCTATGTCCAAACTTTTGAGCTCATTACCTCCAATAAGTACTGGTATGCTGCCTCAATTCCAAAAGCGACGTGCACTTCTTGTATGCTGAGTGGGGTAGACTTTTGCCAGTCCACCAAATGTGAAATCGAACCGCACGCCTCTAATGCATGAGTCCATGGAACGCCTCGGGTTCTTGACAAGAAAGCAACTTCGATGCATAGCTCGTCTTCCCATTTTACATTTACAAACTCTATTCCTCGTGGACATCCTGAAACCAATACCATCTCAACTTAGCAGACGTTATAAGACTAATCTACCTTTCACGACAACTTGAAGCAAATTTCGAAACATTGTTCCTATCATGTGCTTGTGTATCTGCTTGCTATCATAGTTGCTCACAGAAGAAGTGATTGGGAAGAAGCATAACACTTCAACATCCCTAAACTTACTTATAAGTAAACTATATCTCGTAAGAAAATCCTTACCTCGAAAAGAAATGTAGCCCTTGAATAAAAGCATCCGGATCATCTAAGCTAGTTGGGAGTTGCTTGCGAAGGTGACACACAATTGTGTCAATGTTCAAACTGCATCTTTCCATTGCTTCCTGAAAATGTAACACATTGTTAAGGAAAAGAATAATAGATATGAGGAAATTAACCGCTCGCAACTCGAAGCACCCAATCCACGGCACTCTTTTCTTCTGCCCGCCAACTTCACTGCAGGGACTGTATCTGCAAAAAGCGTGACAGTAAGAAC